AAGATCAAAATAAATCAAAGCCGTCAATTCCTACACAGCCCAAAGGATATTGACTCAGCGAGCGATTATTAAACGACAAATAATCTAGAAAGAAAAAAACATACAACTGAAGCTGATAACTCACATACGTATTATACTTTTAATGCATTGCATGTGGATCACCTTTGATGACAAACAAAGGTGATCAATTACATGTGTAATGCCAAGATGCAATCTATCACAGTATAGATCAAACATATTGTCAGTGCAAGAGCTATTGTCCAAATGATACTACTATACATGCTGACTCTGAACACTGTCTCATGGGAACACTTCATGACATATGCTGTAAAGTTGATGACTCATGTGTCAGGACCAACCATAGTCTCAAAGACAGAGTGCTTCTTCATATTTAGCTACGAAATACCTCAATGCGGAACAAAATCTCGAGCAACATTGATTGGATTGAAGTGTACGAGGGGCAATATGAACACAAACAACAAACTCATCTAGTGTCTTTGTAATGGATGATATCAAACCGGGAGCACTAAAAGGGTATGAAAGCGATAAAAACATGCAGTTCAATGTTTAGATGAGGGCCCGTTTATTATTTATTTTATTTATTTTTCATAATAAATAATACTCCTTTGAAGCAGAGCATGTCTTATGATAATGTAGAACTATGAAACTCCGTAAATAATGCAAGCATCAAGAGTAGAGAGGAAGATGAACTTCATGATTACCATTATATATTGGCCAAAAGTCATTAAAAACACATACTTTTACATCCTGCAGGTACTTAAGTATATTAAACTCAAAAGACACCTCATCTCGCATAACTTTTTTGTCAAAGTGTAGATTGGAAATAAAGTTATTAATTTTTTTGAGAGAATTTGGTAATTTCACAAAAGCTTTGAAAAATATTTGGAGCTATTGGTAGCAATCAATGATGTCATCTATTCAAGAAGTCACTTAAAGTAACGTCGGTTATATTGTAGTTGGCACGAGAGGTTGCACCAAGCCTAGTGAGAGCTCTGCATTGATATTAACTTTACATTGGAGAGTCTAAACTGTAGAAATTTGTATATATGTAGTTTTTTTTTGAATCTAGAGTTTACACATGGCAGAATCGCATGTGCAAGACGTCACGTAGTTGCGAATAGCAAGCTTGAGCAGGTCACGCAGGTTGTTATATCATGATGATGATGTATCATCCATATTAACTTGCATGATTTAACGTTAAAAAGCATGAGAAATTTGGTCGAATCCCAAGTTGACATGTGGCAGAGCCGCACGTTGTTGTGGGGTTTATTTGAGGTTTGAGACAACAATATATTTAGTGTTTTGTTTGAATTTAAGTAAGGGAGAAAACTTATAAATAATGTGGGTGCTATATGTGTTTACGGTGACTAAAATTGAATGTAGTACATAATCTGAAGTTGTACTACAAACTTAAACTAAGTATCGTACTATAGTTGAATGTAGTACTTACTTTCAAGTTGTACTATAATTTTACTACTCACATTCTACGTTTTACTACTGAAAGTTTTCTTGAAAAGCTAAATAGTAAAGAATGGACGGCTCATTCCGCTAAGTCCCATCTTTGCGTTTTCATAAGTTGCTGTTTCGAAGGTTTCCGCATTCCTTTTGGAGTTTGTGTGTGTTTCAAGATTTCTTTGTTTTACTAGGTGACTTCACATTGAACGATGCGAGATTTGATAGAACCGACGGGAGTAGTCAATATGGATATTTGCCTATTTTTCTCTGACAACGTACTTTTTAGAGAAAAGTGGTCTTAGGAACAAAAATACATTTTTTCAAATCATTCTTAAAATTTTTCATTGATTATAGAGCGGATTGTGAAATATGTTTTAGTCTTTGTTTTAAGTCAATATCGTATATAGATAGAAAATTATGAGTGTTAGAAGTTAAGTGGTTTTCACAAGTACCAAAAATTTGCTCGTTTGGCGCTTATTGAACAATTCTTTTTCCCCAAACAACGTGCAAGACATCACGTTGACGCGGGTAGCATGCTTGAGAAAGCCACGCAAGCAATTTTACTATGATGATGTATCTTTGATATTAACTTCTTTGACTTTAGATTGGAGACCTTGTGCTGCAGAGATTTATATATTAGTAGTTTTGTTCGTTGAATTTGATATTTTTGATGAATAGACATCTTCATATTCAACACTTTTAAGAAGTTTGACACAATTACGCTCAAGTCAATGACACATGGCACACATTGGATGCGTGGTGTAGTGAGGTCAAATTTTGAGTTAACACATGGTAGAGACTCACTTGCAACACGTCACATAAGCGTGGGTAGCATGCTTGCGCAACATTAATATAAAGTTTTATCATGATGATGATGTATCAACAATATTAACTTGCTTGACTTTACGTTGTAAAGTCTATGTTGCAGAGATTTGTATATCAGTAGTTTAACTTGAATCTCAAGTTGACACGTGACAAAGCTCCACTTGCAAGACGTCACTTAGGTGCGGAGGATAACACGCTTGAGCAAGCCACGCTGGCAGTCATATCATGATGATGTATCATCGATATTAACTGAACTAACTTTATGTTAGAAAGCCTAAGCTTCAGAGATTTGTATATTAGCAGTTTGGTGTAATTTTGAGTTTATACATGGAAGATCCACAATTACAAGACGTCACATAGGCGCGGAAAGCACGCTCGTGCAAGCCACGGAGTCACTAATCATGATGATGATGTATCATACATATTAACTTGTATGACTTTACGTTTGAAAGCATGAGCTATAAAGATTTGTATAATCTCTAATCTCGAATTGACACGTGGCAAAACCCTACTTGCAAAACGTCACGTAGGCATGGGAAGCACATTCGAACAAGCCACGCATGTAGTTATATGATGATGTATCATTGATATTAATTTGCGTAACTTTATGTTGAAGAGTCAATGCAGTAGAGATTTGTATATAGGGAGTTTGGTTGAATCTCGAGTTGACAAGTGATTGAGCGTAATGTCAGATGAGGTGAGTCTTTCAGAGGAGCTTGCTTCAAAATCTCTGAATTGTGCAGGCAGGGAGGGACTGCGGGCATGATTATGAAGGCCAATTGTTCACATACTGATCTTTGCACATCCTTGGTTCAGTATATTGAAACCTGAGATGCCAGAAATAAGCTTCGTTGACACATTCATTCTTAATGTGTATGAATTTTTGAAACTATAAACTCGAGTCGTGTGGAATCCGATGTAGTGCAGCTACATTTGGTATCGGAGATGGAGAGTTAATCTACAAGTAACTGCTAAGACGTAGATGAGAAGTTGATATACAATATAGGGAAAACATAGGGAGAAATATACATTTTATAAACAAATAAATGTAAGTGGAGCGATGTATATGCTGATTATACCAAAAAAAAACTGTGGAATCTTTGCAAGATGGATTTTTTTTTGGAAAATTTTGCTTCATGAAATGTGACGCAAATTAAATCGAAACAACTGAAAAAAATGTAATGAAGAGAAAAATTGAAGAGGGCATCTCACAAGAACTCAAGAGAGAGCTCTACAACCATAACTTGAGTTTTTCAGAGCACAATATTGTGTATATCACACCATAGTGTATGATAAATAATTCTTTGTGTAAAGAAAACAACAAATTTTTACTAATATGATATATTTTTTGATTTCAATACTATTATGAAATATGTTCATCTGACTTGATTACAAACCATGTTCTTCTGTAGTAGATAGAAAATTTATTTTGTTTTTGAAGAAAAAGTTTTTTCTTGTCATGATTTGAAATATAACATCAACTTTTTTCATCAATAATCGCAAGTGTCTAAATATACTAAATAGTTAAAAATTTCAATCATGTCAAAGATTTACTTGACATTTATCAATGCAAGCTGAAGATCAATACATATTTGAATCTTCATTGTTCCAATAGATTTAATCTAACAATAGTTTTTATATTGTTTCAACTTCATCTTTTCATACGAAATAAAAGATTTTTTCCCCTTTTTTTTCTAACACACGATATAAAAACACAATATCTATTTACTTTTTATCAGTGGAAATGAAAGTAAAATTGTTACATTAAAAACGGGCTTACAAATAACGTTGTTAAGTATTCTTTGTTTAAAATATAAAATTCAAATTTATAAAACTGATCAAGTTGAAAAACTGATAATGTCATAATTTCTATTAGTTGTATGTACATGAAGTCGGGAGCATATTATTGTTATCTTTCATTTAACTAAATTTTTCAATTGGTGATTCCATTTACGCTATAACTCTTGCAAAGAATTAATTTATTTTGAAACTTGTATACAATGTAATATAAATAAGATTCTTTTCAAAATTTCTTTCATTACATATGAGACTTCTTACATGAAGATGCGTTACATCAAGTGGCAATTACTAAATTCAAGCCATTTTTAAGTTAGCTTTTCTATGTCGTTTAAGTTATATTGAATATGTTTCAAATATCTAAAGAAGAACTAAACAACGTAACATGGTATTTTTGTTATGAATAAATTCTATTTTGTAGGTTTATTCATTATCGGGATGAAAGGATCTTCGGTACTTTGTTTCTATCAACCGAACGGTTCATTTATCACCACGTATGAATGCAATCAGAAGTTGTTATCTTGTACATTCTTGCTAATGGCACGTAATCAATCAGCAGTCGATCCTAAACTTCTAATTGATGGCTCGAGAATTCAAGTCCATCGGAGTGACATTCGATGGGAAAAACGCTTTTAGGGAATGAAGGCTGGACTGGACAGCACAGGACAAGTGGATTCAGGAAGTTGTGGCAGCTCACTGTCCGTGCGGACATCTAATAAATAAGCAATTCCAGAATGGAGCACGAGCGAGTCAACGACATCGTGAGCATGTTCCTCACAAGAAAACGCGCTCGGATTCTGCAAATCTCGAGTCCTCTCGCCCACTTGGGAGCGTACGAACTGTCCTCTGATTTCTCAGCACTCTCCTCTACACCTACCGCAATCGAAGGCTGCGAAGCAAACAACGACGTAGCCTTGAGAATGGGGCCCCTCGGAGTCCGTGCTACAATGGCGCAGTAGGATTGAACGGCATGAGTCGCCACGAACGGAGGAAGCATTGCTTCTCCGGGTAGCAATGATTACAGATTTTGGTGGACGGGAGGGAGAGCGCAGATGATGACGGACCTCGAGTATCAGAGACTCGGAGACTGGTGAAGCCATTGTGTAAGGGAGGTCTGGCTTTCACACTCTTGCTCTTCGTCCCGGTCCCAGTCCGGCGTTTGGTGGCGGAGGACGGGCGTCGGGAGACGAATTTCGCATGAGACTCGTGCGCAGAGGTTCGAGCTGAAGTGGAGTGAAGTGAAGTGAAGGATGTGAATGGACTCAGAGGCAGTGAGGAGCTGAAAGCGGAGGACCAGATGAATCGCTTCTGAACTGGACCGGGCTCGAATCGATCGAGATCGGCTCCAAGCCTCTGAACCGCAGCCACAGCGTCATCATCGAGGGTATGGATGTTTTCTGATGCGAAGTGCAGAAAAGAGCAGCCAGTGCCATGACTGGGGGCGCTGGTGCGTGAAGTTGTCGCACGATGGGAGATGGCGCTAGCCACGAATCCAGCTCTTCTGTCGGACCAGCTCCAACACGAGCTGACGCTTTTGCATCAGCTCGATCACAACAAGCTCGCAGAACACGGGCATGAGTTTCTCCAAGACTGCAGGCGGTGTGCCCCTTTCTCCTTCTTCTTCTCCTTCTACTCCTGTGCACTTCCAAGCGCGATCTTCAGCTGCGCAGCCATTCCCAAAGCGACGGCTCTCTTCTGGTACGTATTATCTTGCCATCTGATTACATTGCATGAATTCAGCTTGCGGGTTTCGAATTTAGTTTAGTCAAATCTCCGACTGGAAAATTTGACTATAATGTGGAAAGAATCGTCGTCGTAATCGTGGAGGCTGAATTGGAGCTCTCTGTGAGGAGAAGCATCTTGACGCCAGGTCCATCCGTCGGTCGGTCGCTGGCTCTGCAGCCTCGTGATGGAAACTCGGATGTGTGGGGCCCTTTATTGCGCCGAAACGGTCGAATTTCGCCCCGATTCGTGGACGCCGTTGCACAATTCCTCCGATTTCCGTCCTCGCTAATCCGTTCACAAGAACGGATTCCGTGGACCATCTATCACTTTCGTCCAATCAGAGTAGCACTCAGTGCATGGCCCGCGCAGCGTCGAGCTCTCTTTGTTCATTTCCGTCCTGTCGGTTGCAGAATTCGAACGACGGAGACGTGGATTGAGCGAATGGAGAAGGCCTGGTGGAGGTCGAGGATGTGGACAGCGACGGCGACGGCGGTGGTGATCCTGCTGCCGTCGTTCGCGCTGTTGGGGTACATGGAGAGCGAGCACGCGCTGCTGAGCCAGACCTCGAGCGTGCTCGAGGGCATCGTCTCCTCCAGCTACGGCTACGCGGCGGGGGCCCTCCCGACCTCCGGCGGCGGCGCGACGGCGGTCGGCCCCGTGCAGGACCTGATCGCGCGACTGCGGGAGCGGACGCGCCTGGCGCTGGCCTCGTCCGCCGACGAGCCATACTCCGAAGAGGAGCAGCAGATCTGGGCCGTCCGGAACCCCTGCGTCGCGCGCGACGCCCTCCCGGCGCGCTACAAGCGGCGCACATTCGCCCAGGACCCCGCGCCGAACGCGGCCTGGGCCCGGGTCTTCCACGAGTACTCCAACCTGCACCGCGCCTGCACTCGCCGGATCGGTAACCTGTCGCGCGCCTTCTACTCCGACGCCAGCGACGCGGTGCCGCCGGGATGCCAATTCGTGATCGGCGAGTCGTACACGGGCCTGGGGAACAAGATGCTGGTGCTGGCGTCGACGCTCATGTACGCGGTCCTGACCGGGAGGGTGTTGCTGGCGCCGGCGAACACGCTGATTCCGGCGGTGTTCTGCGAGCCCTTCGAGGGTTCGTCCTGGCGGGTGGACGACGACGGGATGACGAACCTGAAGGCCGGCGGGCCGTGGACGGAGGTCGCCGGGAGCTTCGGGTGGGTCGACGAGCAGGCGGCGGAGAACGTGAGCCGCCTGCTGACGAGGGTGAAGGTGCACAACGGGTGGCAGCCGGTGAACCGGTTCTACTGCGACTCGGAGCAGGCCTTCCTGTCGCAGGTGCCGTGGATGCAGATAGGCGCCTGCTTGCACTTCCTGCCGCGTCTGTTCGCCGTGCCCAAGTTCCGGCCGGTGATGGAGGCGCTCTTCCCCGACCGCATGGCGCTGACGCATCTCCTGCGGTCGGCCCTGCTGCCGTCCGATGCGGTCTGGGAGCGCGTCCTGAACGTCGATGAGGTCTACCTGGAGCACACCGAGCGGCAGATCGGCGTGCAGGTCCGCTACTTCGACCAGCGGATCCGGGACCGGATCAACTCGCGGGTGGGGGACTGCTGCCTGGAGAATGACTTGCTGCCGGCGGTGCAGCCCTTTCCGAGCCCCGCCGCCGCCACCAACGCTAACCAGTCGGCCCCGACGACGGCCAACGTCCGGACGGCTCGGTCCGGTCACCAGCACAGCCGCATCACCAAAGTGTTCATCGCCTCGCTGCTGCCGGACGTGCACGACTATCTGAACCAGCGGTACCTGCGGCAGCGGACGGTGGGCGAGGTCGCGGTCGGGCTCGTGCAGCTGACGCACGAGAGCTCGCAGCGCACGGGGGTCGAGGTGGACAGCGAGGCGCTGGTCGAGATGCTGTGCCTAAGCTTCTCGGACCACCTTCTGGTCACGCCGCAGTCCACCTTCGGCGGCGTGGCGCAAGCCTACGGCGCTCTCAAACCCTGGTTCATCAACTACGATCGGGATCCGTCCATTCCTCCGTCCGTCAACTGCCAGAGGGGCCAGTCCGTCGATGTCTGCTACCAAGGCGGCCCTCGCGGTTACGATTGCAAGCACGATCCTGGCCTCAAGGGTCACAATCTCTTCGACGACCTGCCGTACCTTCAACCTTGCCTCGGCATCGATACCTCGGGGATTCAGATAATCACCAGTCATGACAGTCTCTAGATCGAAGTCCATCGTCGCGTAAAAGGACCTCTTCGCCTCCACTTTCCTTCCACATCGCCGAGGCCTTCATTCGAGTCATGAAACCCTCTTCCTCTGCATTAATCTAAGTCTAGCAGGATCAGATATCCATGGCTCCTTGAATCAATCAGTATCGTTTTGTCTAAGGCCGATACGAGGAGTCAATGCCAGATAGGTGTGGGACACTTTTCCCCAAGAGGCCTAAATTGCTCAGTTGTCAGGTTTAATGATCGGATATCCATCTGTGGACGAACATGCACTATACAGTACTACCATTACATTCGAAGGTCGTGTTGGAAGCATGCTGTCACTCGCTTCTGGACCTACAAGAGATGGATTGCTGTAACCTGCGAATGCTCTGATCCTTTCTAGGTTCCGAAAATTATCGCTCGTTGCCCAATCTTCGCTTTAATCTATTTTTAGTTCCGAAGGGGCACGTATTAGAGTTCACTGCACTGTGAGCTCACACCAAAGACAGAGGTTTCTACGGCGACACACTCCGAGGGTTAAGGCTGTTTGGAAGTCATTGTAAAGAAATTATAAAACTAACAAGTAAATTAAGATAATGCAAGATCCAGCAAATTTCTTAATACACACAATAGTGATAGAATTGAGAAGGAGTCCCAATGCACTAAGGTTTCAGCTGCACTTGCAGGCTATCAACAAAAACTGCTTCGCACAGGTAATGGACATGCAATGCAGCCTGAAGAAAATTCAGATGTCGATGTGTGCGCGTGAGAGCAAACGCGAAACAAGTACAGATACCAATCCAGAAAAGAGGAGATTCAGCATGAAAGGACCGGAACTGTAGGGGAAGTGAAACCAGCTACCCGAAGTACTCAGGAAGGGACGTGCAAGCTTTGATTCTGAGATTACAAATAGAATTCAAAGGCTACAGTCAACGAGGATCAAGTCGCTCCTGATCCAGAAAGAGATAATAAAATATAATAATAAACAATAGAGATAGAAGGAGTACAAGTACTCAGTACGACTAAGATTGAAAGGTGTGGCAGTACATTGAAGCCGCAAGGTACCGCGCAGATCTTACGTCGATTGGAACGAATGACAACTTGAATGCAACAAGAACAAATCTTTCCATCTCAACACACACAAAGCCAATCGAAAGCGTCCAGGACAATCGTTGTTGAGCAAATCAGTAGGGAGTTGAAAAGACGGATCGGAAGAGTATACTTAAAACAGTATGTATGTATGAATGAAGACCGAGTACAAGTACTTAGTAAGAAGAGGCCTCTCATGAGTTTCAGAAGGCATACTCAGACAAGGATGAACTGGATGAACAGCTGCACAGGGTGAAAGTGATTTGAAGTAACGGGTTGAATTCTTGGAAAACAACGGCCGCCCAAGAAGAACAACCAAGTCTGTGTGAGCATTCCGAGTCGTTTGTATGCACTTTGACAGATAGTACCTACCTGAAGAGGATACATGTCAATCTTACCCAAATACGCATTTGACATAAATTTTACTTAACCACTTGGTTGGTTTACTGTAATTACGTAATCGAAAGTTCGTTCAGTCCTTTCTATGATAGTTGTCACTTTCTATGATGCAAAAGAACATATACTCCAGGTACCCACTGGAACTCATCCATCCAATCAATTGCGCGGCGTAATTCGGTATCAGTTCCGTACAGACCCTAAATAATGATCCGCCCCTTACAGAAGAGATGTCTGAATTCCATGTTGCAAAGATCAGGAGTTTTTCTCAAACAAATTTTCTGATATCAGTCGTTTGAATGTCTATCATCCCTCCACTACGGAGGGCTGCTTCAGCATCCAATTGTGCAACGCTGTGAAAGGTAATTGTAGATATGACAGTGAGGCATACATACAAGCATGCGAGTGAAAGTCCACCCCAGCATTCTACGTAGGTGATAGTCTTAATCCTTGGATCGACGTAGGGAAGGGGTATGTGTGCCTAGCAACCAAACTCATCGTCTGGTCCCTGCCGAAGTAAAATACTGCCGTCATTTCAACTTTCATACAGGCAAGACCCGAGATCGAAAGCGTAGTTCACCAAATAGTAAGCACACGAAAATATTGCCCACCTCATCTGCGTATGATAGTTTTGTGGTATTAATATGACGTGAAAGGGTTCATATTGCCATCTGGTACGCTTGAGAGCGGCCATACTCAATCTTCATGGATCTAGCAACTGCCGAACCTTCAGCGCTCGAGCTCAAAATCGGTTTATCAAGAATAACTCTCTCCTTGCCAGTACAGACACGTCCTTTGCCCAACAAATCGGGAAGAAAAAATAGACTGTACAAGGTCGATAAAGACCGACCTCATTCTTCAAGAACTTCTTTTGCACTCTGAAGTGACAAAGTGAAAAACTGCAAGAGGACCAGAGTAAAAAAAACATCATCTTCTGAGCAGGTGAGGATCCGACCCGATCGAGGACATATCTTGCTCCAACTCTAGATTATAAAACAGGCTGCACGTCTGTCAGGACCTAACAAAATCCTCAGCCGCCAGGCAGTAAATGTCTTCTGGAATGTTAAACTGCAAGATGATCTCAGATTTTCTTCACAAGAATTGTCAATGCTTTCTGACAATTCTATTCATTGATGATCCTTCCTTCCTCATGCAACCAACAAGGCGTTGGCTCTCTATACAAAGGCACCAGATTTTGCAATTCGCCATTACTGCGCATGAATGGAAGCAAACCAGAGGACAGAGTTGTCAATGTCCCTTTATTTGGCCTTGAAAATCTGGTCTGCTGTACTGTCCTCTGGCCTGCAGTGCTAGTATCCTCCTTGTCCGTGCTGAGCAGCATGACCTGGCTGTCTAAATATTACAAAGTGCTTCATGGTGCTGGCGGCACCTCCTCGAAAACTTCTGGGACGTCAATATCCTTGAACCCGGGCTCCAGCCACTGAGGGTAGGGCAGATTCTTGGATTTCAAAAAGTCGACATTAAAAATCTTGCCCTGGTACCGAGTTCCCAAGTCACACAAAATGGTAACGATAGTGTGCCCGGGGCCCAGCTCCTTAGCCAGTTTGACAGCCCCACCGATGTTGATCCCTGTGGAGCCGCCCATGCAGAACCCCTCCTCTTTAAGCAGGTCATAGACGAGAGGGAGCGCCTCCTCATCGGTCACCTGGCACCAAAAATCTACAACACCGCCATCTCTTGCTGGCAATCCCCATCCCTCCAAATTGGCCGTCACTCGGCCCTGCCCGATTCCTTCCGAAATCGAATTTCCAGACGACTCCAGCACGCCAGAGGCGTAGTAATTATACATACAAGCACCCATGGGATCCGCCATCCCGATCCTGACATTGGGATTCTTTTCCTTCAAATACTTTCCCACGCCGGCCAGAGTGCCTCCGGTGCCGATGGCGCACACGAACCCATCGATTCGGCCTCCCGTCTGTTCCCAAATCTCGGGCCCCGTGGTCTCGTAGTGCGCCCGGCGATTGGCGACGTTGTCGAACTGGTTGCCCCAGATGGCGCCTCCGGGATGCGACTGGGCCAGAGCCTCGGCCAAGCGCCCCGAGTACCGCACGTAGTTGTTGGGGTTTTTGTAGGGAACAGCGGGAACCTCGACGAGCGTGGCACCGGCGATCCGCAGCATGTCCTTCTTCTCCTGGCTCTGGGTTTTAGGGATGACGATCACAGTCTTGTAGCCCTTGGCATTGGCGACGAGCGCCAGCCCGATTCCGGTGTTCCCCGCAGTGCCCTCGACGATCACTCCTCCGGGCTTCAGAATGCCCTTCTCCTCCGCATCCTTGATGATGTACAGCGCCGCCCGGTCCTTCACCGAGCCCCCGGGGTTCAAAAACTCCGCCTTTCCATAGATTTCGCACCCCGTCAGCTCCGACACCTTGTTCAGCCGAATGAGCGGCGTGTTCCCCACCGAATCGATGAACCCTTTCCGCACCGCTGCAAAACTCGTCGCCATTGCACACGAGGAGATTTCACCGCAGGCAAATCGAGCCACTCCCCCGAGAGCACACGAGGACGAAGACGAGGATGAGAACGAGGAGCGCAACGCTCATCGCAGCGCCATCTTATCAACGGCTACAAGAAAGCAGCGGAAGCTCCGACGCACGCTGGACCGCGCGGTGCTGCTGCTGCTGCTGACTCCGATCGGAACCCAGTCCAGCAGTCGAGTCCCACTCCCACAGAGGCAGCTGATCTGCCTCGGGGGCGAGGCCCTCGCGGGGATCTGAGTTGGCGCGGCCAGCTCGGCCAGCTCGGCTGCAGTGGCAGCATGGCAGCCCAACTGGCGTCGTGCGATCCGCCCAAGTGTACCTGTACCTGAACCTGCTGCGTCAGGACGACTTTCGGCTCCTTATCCGCTCGGCTTTTCTTTCGGCTGTGTCCGCCGGGTCATGAGGGACGGACCGCTCCCGGGGACTTTCTACCATCGGACTCGCGCAACTACCATGTGCCTCTTTCCCTTCCGATCGGTCTCGCGTCCCCCGAAACTGGCCCGGCCCTTCGCGGAGGGACGGCCTCTTCCTCTTTCGGACCTTGCTCGTGGTGACAATTGTGCGGGCCTATAGGGGTCTCGGTTGCGGTGCCACTTTCCATGCGGCTGCTCGGTGAAGCACGAGGAGTTTCAAGATGTTGCATGTGGTAAGAAGTGTGAGAAGAAATACAGAGCAGAAAAGTGGACTAACTTTTCCCTTTCGCTCGGATAATGAACGAAGTTTCATCTTTTCACGACAAACGGATCGAGGATTGGTACTGCATAGCATGCGGAAGAACCACAGAGTTTTGTTACTCCGTTCCCCAGAGCATGCGAATGGACTTGATTGGCCCCGATCCAGTAAGTTGTTCTTTGCTCCGGGATTTTGCACCTCGTTGGATTGATGAAACAGAAAACTAAAAACTTTGAGCTTGTGGTCGCGGTTCTCGGGCAACCGATCCACGAGGGCGAACAGGTCTTCAAGGATCAGGTGTGCATTGTACACATGTCCGGAGGATCAAAGGTCTAGAATTGCTCGCGGGTCCTTCCTGCATATGTCGTGCAACTCGCTCGCACCGCTCTTTCGTCAGAAATAGATATTGATATCCATGGAATCACAGGGCCTACACTGGCCAACATCCAACAAGATTGTACGGCTTTTTCCATCCAGCGTCCCTCACAGGTATGCAACAATTTTGATCTATGGCCGAAATTAACATTTTCCGAGTGCATTACGTGAATTGAGCCAGCTAGTGGATGCCGTGCTTGGGACATGGTTTGGTTGCAGCTTAAGTCCAAACCTGAGATGCATACGATGAGAAACTGGAGATATAATGATTTCTTTAAAGCCAAAAACACTCCCTATTACACCCTGAGACTGGATACTGCCAGCGTGCACGTGGAATGCACAGCGGATATCTGTCGAGAACACATACCCTACGATAAACAGAAGACCAGAGATCGTCTCATCGTGAAAGGAACGATGGAGGTCCATTCCAAACCAAGGCAAGATACAGGAACAACACTATAACTGGCGCGTATCACTCATGATTGCTACCAACTAAATGGGTCGATCTGCTAACACCTGCTTTGACAAGCATAAAGCCATTCTAATGCAAAAACAATGGCAGATAAAAACAATAGCAGACCGACCGTGAAGATTCAACGATGGACAATATGTAAGAACGCAATAAATTGTAGATGATAGTACAGGTCCCTGCTACACGTCCAGAATGACTTTCCTCAAGGTTTAACTCATCAAGTAACATTAATTTCTTCTCAAGTGCGTTAGCCAAAGACCAGCTTTTACTAAAAACCCGGCCATTATGATAAGGGTCTCTTATCATCTCCAAACACAAAAGTGAGAAGAGAGTGGAACAGTTTTTGTTAGACCCAAAATTCGAGAAACCTATCCTATATTTTTCTCCGTCAACTTCTTTCAAGAACTAATCTGAAGAATCTCAGCTACAGTGAATACTGATTATATCTTCTATCTGCAATCCAAAATCTATCGAGCAAAATTCCTTCGTGAGACTAAAGTAAAAACGTAGAGGCTGCAACATGACAGCCAACTTATATATGGACAGGATAATTTAGGAAATAAGCAAAGTTTGGGAGAGCATTAACGACGAAGATGAAAAAAAAAAAGTAACTGCTAATTTGCCATTACCATATCTTTATTTTGCAACTCAAGCGAGTAATTGGATACAGATGCGAATTGTTCTAAACACCGGTGGGGATTTCTGTAAAGCTACCAATGATTCCCTTCCACCTCCAGCTCGGCAGAGAGTTTCTAAAACACTGCTGAATAGTACTACCTGATTTTTACTTTACATATGGACGAGATGGACAGTTGACAGCAAACCACACGTTCACAATTTTCCCACCTACTGTCTCGTAAAACTGGCCATCTATCAATGTGACATGATGTGATAGATCAACTTGTGTCCAAACACTTGGCTCGTATCAATCGTGGTACAAAGAATGCGGTGAACAGACGGTTCATCCAGAAATAAATAGTGTGATTGTATTGTACATACATTGGACTGCTGGAAGAGATTTCAACTGCGACAGGCAGCCACAAGACATAGAGTACAGTTATGCAGCCATGCACAATTTCCCCATAAAGCCTGCGCATCAAAGAAACATCTGGATGTAAATGGGCAAAGCCTCCATCTTTTCATGTGTATGATTATGTAAATATAGGTTTACTGATATGTACACTCTTAACACTCTAAAAAACGTGTGCATGTAGAGTTCCTTGGTATCGTTCAAGCCAACTATGACTGTTTCTGACTAAAAAAATCAGCTAAATGTACTGTCTACTTCAGCTTTTTATTCCCTACCATGGTATATGCCATTTTTCAGTTCGAGTAGAACTCTATAATGTGTATTATGGAATATACCATTCATCTTTGTTGTCCACTCTATAGAAAGGATTTTACCACATCGATTGCAACAGCAGAACTATGACGAATGACAAACAAGAGACTCCTTCATCTTCTGTACTACACCTTTATTGTCTGGGGGCAGTTCGCCGACTGCTATCATTTGCTCCGCCTTATCCCGGAACTCAGCAATTTGCCTTTGCTTAACCTCCTCTATCTCTGCCTTGGCCTATTTACGTCATTGCATACATACCCACATTACAGCCGATAAGAAAACCATCATCAACGAACATTCGCAATTTAACTAGTAGTCGCAAGCCACAGTTCATTATGCACCACCTCACATGTCCATCTTCTCCCTACCTTGCCAGATCAACATGTATTTTGATGATGCATTTTCCTCTCAAATTGGAGAATCACACTTTTCAAACAACAGATGAGCTAAAATAAAATAGTAAAACTTCCTCACGGTTCATATCCTCACAAATCGCAGTTTCCGAGTATGCGTCTACATTATCCTGCTCTTCTATACAACTTCCTGTCTAAAACCACAAACCTTGGGTTTCAACATCCTCTACGAAACCTTTGTACAGTCCTTCAATCCTACATTGTTCTTTTGAGACACATATACATGTCTTCAAGTAGCAGATACGCTTTGAAATTTACATTCAGTTGAATATCATGGTACAAGTAGGATTCTCGTTCTCATCATAAGCTAGAGGAGAGAGCTCTAGTGATGGTGCCCTGAAAATTTTGCTTTTATTTTTTGTCCAAGTCCTTTATGTTGGGGGAGGGGGAACTCTCCGGCAGCCTTCATTTGTGCAACTTTATCTTCGATCACTGCTACTTCTCTTTTGTTCAATTCAGTTGTTTCTGCACAGGTCTGATGATGCACAAATCATCGGAACCCAAAGGCAAAATCCAGATTAGGAATACATAAAAAATTTCGAAAAATTTTCCTGGTCCTGAAGGGTGGAAGCTTCGGGCATCACCAAACCTAACGTCTGTGCAAATGAGTGACCATGCACAAATCACCGTACATCAAGGGAAAACGAAAGTTTGGGATATGTGAGATTAAAAAGACTGTCAGTCTGTGAGGGTTGAAACTCCGAGTATCGACATATATCACACTTTAGAGCATAAAGAATTTTCCTCTGAACTTCATCTGGACCGGATATGAGGCTTATTGAGGTGTCAAACTTCTGCTTGACAAGTGATATGACAATAAACTGAGATTTCAGTCTCTACACTAGTCTGTATCAACTGCCAACTTGCTCCAGGGAAGGGGAACATGTTTGAAGTGAAGCGTTCCTTCAAAGACATATATCACGGTCTACACGATTTCTGTAAAATTTAAAATCATCCATGAAAGGTAGAATCAGCTGTAAATGCATAAGTGACGAGTCACAAAAATAACTCACCCTTTGAGCTTTGGTGTTTGCATCAGCAATAAGTTTCTCCGCTTCTTCTTGTGCGCTTGCCTTGATCAACAAAGCTTTCTCCTTGGCTTGTGACATGATCTTGTCAACTTTAATCTGAACAGATGCACAGGTGGAATGAAGCCGTCAGGCTCGTTCCGATCTCGACATATGCTACAGACCAACAATCAGAGATCACAAGTTTGTCCCAAAGTTACGCTTACTTCGAAGCATAGTTCGGGAATTTCGAGAACCCAGACTCAGCAAAGTACCTCGGTGGCGTGGACCAACTGATCTGCACGCTGGTCTTCCTTCTTGCGAGCTTCCAACGCCTTGGCCTCAGCGTTCATCCTATCCTTTTCCGCCTTGGCCTGAAAATCATTAACAAAATTTCCTTTCAGTGGGTCACATAGATAGCAAAAGTAATCGTATAATCAACCATCGAATGACTTGCTTGCCTCCAGTAGCTAACTGCGACTGGGCACATCAAAAGTACTTGTTTCTTGACGTCGTACCATCGCGAGAAATCTTCATATACTACTACGAAAACTGCGTCTCTACAACAGAGTTTCCGTCTGCAGCCAACACTTCACAGATGACTGCCTCGAGTTCGCTTAAATAAGTGAATGGAAAAATACAAAGCCATCCCAGCGTACGCGGCGAGTTCTCAATGTAAATTCAAAGTATTAAAAACACGCTTTTCAACCGCTCCTAATATGGAGCTCCAAGACTTCACCGTAGACCTGGCTTCATATCCAGAGGACGTGAACAGGTAACCATGGGAGTCCGCAAAATTATGAAAGATGAGATGTTGCAGTATTGTACTCACCGACAGCCGTTCCGCGTGTGCCTCGGCCTTTCGGATTTCAGATTCCAGATAGGCCTGTGCTTCGGTCTCAACTCTCTTGCTGTGAGCGTCCGCAAAGGCTTCGGCCTTCAAATTGGAGCCCTTCTTGCCAGGAGACATATCAGTTCCAGATTTGGTGGCTGTGGGAGCTCCTGGTGAAGTTGGAGCTGAGCGGCTGGCTTCATGTGGCACCAGGGCACCTGCATTATCTACCGTCTTCTCGGTAGGAATCTCAGTCTGGGCCATGGGAATTCCAGCTGGTGCTCCTCCGGGAGCAGGTTCAGGCATCACTGTTGGTGCTCCTTCCTTGATGGTCACCTGTTTCGGTGATGTTGCGGTTTCAGCCGCAGCCATGGGCTTCAGAGGTGCCTCGGCTTGAGCCATAATTCCAACAGCCGAAAACCGTGAATTCTCAGTCAATCAGAGTCGACAACTATCCGAACGAGCAAAACTCAAACAAACCGCTTGCAGAGCACCCGCAGCCTTCTTGTCGAGGCGTGAAAAACTTATCCGGGCTAGGCTGACTACGAGAACGTCAGACGAGTAGAACGACACTCGAATCTCGCGTATCGATAGGCTCAGAGCAGCAAGAGAATTCTCTCTGCAAGGGAAGTCAGTCTCCCTTTCTTGTCACTGAATTGCAGCCACAAAATTATCTGGGAAATGACAGCAGGACGGCAGCATTTAAGAAGTTCCAACTTCGGAAGAAACAGCATGGGATCGGGGAGAAGCACACAGAGTTCACAGGCCGGAGAGTTCGCTGGGTTTCGCCAGTAAGTAGACGCGTTACCATCCCAACACCTGGCTCGCATCTGGCAGACAACGTGGACATGGTGTGCAGACACAACGAGACCTACAAATGGAAAAGCTGCACGTATTAAGATGTAGGCCCCACTCGGTGCCAGCTTTTGATGCTTAAAAAGGCTGGATTCGAGTCGGCCTCGCGAGGATAGTGTAAGGATGTACTCCTCGGCCCGCCCCCCTGCGTTACCCATTTGCTCCGCCAGGACATAAACTGCAACACGTGCTCGCCTTCCCCGCTAGCCCGGGATTTCCCCGCCACAGCTCCGCCTCTCAGTGGGACCCTCTCTTTTCGGCATGTTTTGTCGTCCTCCCTCTCTCACGCCTCACCATCTTCCTCGCCCTTCCTCGCCCTTCCGCCGAATCGGAAGTCCAGACCCTCTGTCTGTCTGCGCCCCCGAGAACCCGACCCCGTGGCCCGCCTCCAGAGCCATTCCAGCCAGAATCCACCTTCCCTTCATTCCTTCTTGATCATTCTCCTGCAGAATGACCAAGAAATATGACAATTCGACAAATCAACAAATCGACAATTCTTTAAGAGTTGCAGGCGCTTCTCTGTCAACTCCAAATCCTTCGTGTAAACCTCAGCAAAAAAAGCTCGTCCTTCGTCATCGCACGACGCCTCCTCCTCCTCTTCCTCCTCCTGCTGAGCTGGGCCGGCCCTGGTCCACCTCGAGCACTTCGACGCGAATCGACTCGGATTCGCGGGCGACGAGGACCCGAGCCGACAACGATTCAACTGTCGGCCTCCATCGATTCATCGACGAGGAAAATCTTGAGACACGACAAAACATGCCGAAATGAGCGGGACGTCCGCGCGAGATCTGCACCGTCGCTTTCAGGAGAGCGGACGGTGTGGATCAGGATTGCTTGGACGCGTGGACGGCGCTTAAGTGGTGAATTTTGAACTTTGACGGAGAGAACTTTCTACCGGCACGGAAATCGACGGAATCGGTCGCCCACCTGAAATATTTTTTTTAGTAATACTTTTGATTTGATTCAATACGCTACCGGAAGAAGGTTCCCCTCGGAGGCCACGTCGGATTTGGATTCCGGCCGCGCGGGAGACTCCGTCTCGTCTCGTGCGCAGCTGACGGCCGATCGGACCCCTCGCAGGCCCTCCTCTGGGCAGGGGGTCCCTGCCTGGAGTGTGTGCGCGCAACACTGCGATCGGATTCATCGGTCCCGATGGCTTTCCGCTGCTGTGGCTGGTTTGGAGGAGGGATTGTTGTTGTTTAGGGAGGGCAGAATAATGTCCATCGCGGCACATCTGTCATGCACTTACGTTCTGCGGCTTTTGTTTTGAACTGTGTCGTGCATGGATGCGAATATACGCTTCGGAGAGCGATGGCTGCTGCCAGGCTGCAGGTACAGAATCTGGATGTACTGTGCTGATGGAATTCTCGCGCATCGTAGGGGGAGGAATGATGTGAAACAGAGGAGATCCGCTTGGTTCGATTGTTTTAATGGATCTAGTTCGTGTAGCGTGCGTGAGCTCTGCCGGCATATGGATGACAGCAGCTTATGAGATGGTCTGACTGTTGTACTTCTCGGCTGTACCATCTTTGATAGCCCAGCGATCAAAGATGAACCTGAATTGTATTTCATATTTGGTTTCCTATATTGTACTTCATTTCATTCCTTCCTTCCTTCCCGCGAGCATTTTTTGATGCAGCAGAGAGTTTCCCGACGAGCCCTTCCTCAGTTCCGCATGAGATGAAACTGTGCCAACAGTTGAGCACAGTGCATGGAAAGATATTAAGTCATCTCGCTACAGCTACAGGCGATCCAGCTACAAAATATATGGCGAACAGAAGGAATGACAGTCATCGTTCCAACTTGCAAAGCCCATGGTCTCCTCAAATTGCGCCCATTCAGCAGCGAAAAGGCTACAGCTCCAGAACTGCATGAGGTGATGAGATTAGATTAGATTAATACGGAGGGGTGGCGAGCATTGGACTGGACTCATGATCTCAGAAAACGAGGGACTCGCCCCTTTATGCGTGATCCCATGATCTGAGCGTCCACCATGGCTGCCACATTTTTGGAAACCCACCATTCGTCTGAAACTACCCGCTTTTGACAAACCACTTATCGGATACTGCACTGCGCAGAGATTCAGATGTCGAAGCCAGGCGTGAAAAGGCTGCCGGATGCATTCAAATAGTTCCTTACGTCTGTGGCTGCCCTCGCCTCATGATCAAAGGAAGCATTCCTGGCATCCTCTCTTTATGTGGTGTGGCTTGTGCAACGCTGTCTGATAAAGAAGTGCACGGGACAAGGCGTTCATGCAGCGGAACCAGGACTAAGAATTGATGCTGGTAATCCAGTTTGTCGAGTCTGTGATACGGTTTGACGGAAATCCACATCGTGAGGCGATGAACAAGCGAGGGGTCAGGGCTAGAGACCATAATCAACGCCTAGAAACACCAACAGCAGTATCATTGACAAACATCAAGCAAATAAAAGGCTGGTGGACTCGACATTATCATCTTTGGACGGGAGTTTCATGAGAGTTGATGAACAACAACGCCCGGATAACCTCATTTGTCGTTCCAGATCCCCTGAATCTTTCGCAGAATGTTGCATCGTTACTCACCAATGCATGGGCGCATGTGCTATGAGTTTCAGAGCTCTGAATCATTCGTCCCGTACTTTACATTATTTCCTGATCCGTAGTGGGCCCTTTTTTCTTCACTCCGCGCCGAGCTGAAAGGAGTCTAAGAATTTGAGATTTATTTCTTCACTCGCTCGTAGGTCATGGAAAGCTTTGAGCACCTGAGATATGCCTACAGGCTTCTCGTGCTGTAGGTCCACTCTCGTCACTGGGCATTTAAAGACCCCGCCAGCATGTTTGCCTTTTGGCAGACGTGACTATCAAGTGTCCCACGTGAGCTCATCTACTTATCACAGCGTGATAACTTCGTCCTCTGCAACTGAAGCTCATATTCTCCAATCATGTGACCCTCGCAGCAGCCTTTTCTTCCCAGCTCCTTTCTGTACCTACGGGCATGGGTGCTGCTCTGGATTGCCTCTCTGCAGTTCGCATAGAATGAGGGAAACTCGGCCAGACGTGGATGCCGCACGTAACTGTGTTTTGGGGGTTCGGCTTCTCATGCTGACTGCAGACATTACCAATTCTCTGGTGTTTGACCACAAAAGGGACGAGATTCTCATTTACATCTACTCATTGGATTAAAACCAAAGAAGGCCAGTGAAGGACATTTGAGAAATTGGATCTCCGAAGCTTCGGCAAAGTTGTACCTGGAAGGAGAATTATCCTCCTTTACAAATTTCGTTGACACCTAAACTCCTACTACATACAATTTCGGAATGCTCTTCCGACTGAATCCGAACTTCTTCTATTCAACAAATTCAGTGCACTCATTTTGGCTACAGCCGGTGGATCTTCTCTTCTATTAAGTCTGCAGAGATGCGCAAGTTTGCCCAGAAGCTTTGAGAAGTTTAATACCCCGCCGCACCTTCACGAATGTTCGGTAACAGCTTTCACACTTCACACTACGCGCAGACTCCTCAGAATGAAGTATGGAAGGAGTCATTTGTTGGAAAACGAGCACTTCGACGCACAAAAGTTGACATGTGGTTTTGTAATAACAGCCGCGCTCGTGTTCGGACTCCACCTCCTCGAAAAAAGGCATGTCTTTGATCTTCATAAGCGACACTTAAGAGTCTCTCCCCAATGTTCTCTGCTTGCAAGAGCTAATAATCCATCTTAATTACAGCCTCCCATTAAGGGCCAGATTGCTCATGTCTACCTCGAATGGAGGTTACAGAGCTTCCACGGGCGATCCTTCCAATATAACAGTTTCAATCTGAACTATCATACTCTGTCACTAGTGCTACAATTACAGGGTATGTCTATCCTTGACAGAGCAATTAAATTATTCTACTCGACCACAACACTTAAGCTTTCACCATCTTACCCCACTGCCGAGACAACACTTGGACGATTCTTCCACGAGTTCTCACCATCAACGCAGATCCCAAAAATGGCACTGTTGTGATAAGCGCGATGTATGCAAGGAGCCATATGGTTCGTCTGTTCTGGGATGACGGGCTCAACAACTCTTTCTTCGCAGGGTTGGCTTGACTATTCACGTTTGCATCTCTTTCACGTAATACTGTTTTCTTGCTGTAATTTTGAATGACTGGCTTCGCAGAAGACCTGTCCTTGTTAAGAACCTCCCTTGGAGTGTCCCCGTAGCCAGGTGTCAAACACGGCCTACTAGAAGAAATTGATAGAGTTCTGCTCTCACTGAGATGCCCTACTTTCCCTTCGATTGTGGAGGATTGTTGTCGTAGCTGCAACCGAAGGAACAAACAAGGGGGGATGTCAGAAAAGTTAGTTCAAACAAGTTGTCATGATCAGCCTTTTATTCTACAGGTGGATGAAAGAAACAGCACTAAAACGTTATTTTCAAGTAATTGGGTTTAAAGAAAGCACACTTCTACCTGGTAGAAGCGTGCTTCTCTTTTTCCCTTTTTACTCAAAAAAACGTGTGGCAGTAATTCTTGTTGTTGGTGCTGTTTCCAACATCACCAGAAAGCAAGAAGATGGTACATAAGCAGTGAGAAGACACTTTGAGAAAACTTCCCAAGTCATGATTAGTCATAGAAATATGAGTCAGACATGAGTACCTGTAGAAGAAGTTGTGATAGTACAGATTGCAGGGCAATGAGCTCAGAGAAACTTCGGATCTGTAACTTGACCGTTGTTTGGCCCGTTGACTGGTTCTCCTCTGAACTTTCAGTCTTTGTTAAAGCATCCCCCTTCTCATTGTTTATCTCCGCAGATTTGTAAATAGGACCCCCAAAATCATCATTGACAATGACATAGTTCCCACTATCTGCAACAAGACCGGATTTGTCCTGTGCCAAGTCAGATTCTTCACGAATCAGTGGACCGATCTCTTTCGGTGATGGTTCTGGCCTCAACTCTGACGTCTCTGCTCGCCCTTCCATGGCAGCAATCAACTCCTCCGCTGATATTCCAGAATTCTGGGCCGCCACTGTAAGGTCATCACCCAATGATAAGAAAGGCCCTTGGTCGATGTCCGAGCCCACCTTTGTACTGGCGGGATCGATACCCTGATCAATCACAACATAACATTGGCGATCATTCTCAAGCATACTAAGAATTGACCTGAGGTTCGAACCACTGCCAACTGACGAACAAAAGCGAGGGAGAGACAAAGGACAAAAGTGAACACATCTGTTGTTAAGGGAATGGCGTTTACTACTGAAGCCACAAACAGCTATTCGAGAACCAAATACACAAGGCTAGCCACCTCTTTAACTCACTGAAGAAAGCATAACGTCAATGAGGAACGAATTTGGCATGTTCTCATTTACGTCTCATCTACAAACATAAACGTGTAGGAAAGACTTACTTTATTTTGCTGATGCATGAGTGAACTTGAAAGAAGGACTTTTGAAAACTCAGTTGCGGCGCGCACATACCTGTCCAGATCAGAGATAAAATGAACTGTCAAGACAATATATCACAATTCTGAGACTTGACTTCGAATGGCATAAACTTGAAACAAGATGTCCATAGTTTCGCACTTAACTGGAAAAAACCCCTGTTATAATTGAAAACATTTGACTATTTCAAGTGGAAGCTTAAAGAATGTTCAATCTTTGTGATTTACTCTCCGAATATAGAGAGTACAATTAGTTGAGATGAATTCTATAGATCCATGTTGATTTCACATGTTGATAAACATGAATAAGATCAAGAGCTAGTATGTACACAAGAACAACATCCGTTGCAATTCGCAAGAAAAGGAGTATACCAGATAGACTTCGCACCAAAACCGTCAAAATACCCAAGGTGACCACCATGTTTCGTCACAGCAAGAATTATGTTTGGGTTCACTCTGCGCATTTGTTCAAGCACCATAGCAACTTAACAGGTGCAACTTTACAAAGAAACCTAAGATGTTTCAAAACTTGTAGCGGGTACAGAAAAGGTGCATTCAAAGAACTAATTTATGGTGAAACCCTAAAAGGAAGGAACTAACAACGCCATGCAACGAAAAAAGGCGAAAAAAGGCGAAAAAAGGCACCTGCATTCATCATAAGGAATGGCTTCTTTGGTGCAGATAGGATCGTCTTCAGCGCTAACACATAAAAGTGGAACCGCAACACCTTCCAGATACTGAGAACTTCCGCATCGGCGATAGTATGTATCTACGGTCTAAAATCACCACATATTATATTCATCAATATCATTAAAAAACAAGAGTGCACTTTTCAATGCAAGCATATAATCGATGAGGAACAAAACCCTTACTATCACCAAAACTTTGTTTATTGTCAAAGTAGGACATTACCTCGTACTTCCCCACATGTCGAGTGCAGTGGTTGTCAAAATCTCTTACAGTCCTTGACTGGAAAAAGTCATGCAAACACACCCCTTTTGTTAAAAATCGTCCATGAAACGGTAATGTTGACAACAAGTAGATTTCTCCGTGGTATTGAAGCTTTCGTAGTTGATGCGGTTACCGACATTATGTCGACTTTTGATACGTCTACGGTCGCTCAAATTGGTAAAACATCCAGACGTATATTTTACTTCCGTAGGAAGTAGACAGGAGCAGACCTCGAGACTTGAATTACAATGTCCATTCCGTAATGGAGTTTTCAACCCAGGATTAATCAAAAAGCCTCACGCCAGAAGGCGGTTAATAGGAATGTATTGGAGTCTCCACATATTATTATGTGGGCTGCTGGATTGTCTGAAAAGCTTACAGTCGGTATGAAGAAAGGGTGGAACTAAGGACAAGTCGCGGAGCAAGAGAATTCGACATTATGGGCCATAACCAGGCTTGAGCGTAGTCATATCACATGGTACGCAGAAGAATGGTCGAAAGATGTCTTTCGTCAACTAGTAAGGGTTAACAGATTGTGATAGCTTACCGAGCTAAGAAGATTCCAGTCCATCATCCGTGCAAGAGCAGTTTGATGTCTGCAAGGCGCTTACGAAGTTAGTGTGATGACGCAAAAGAACACCAGATCAATCCTTTAGGGTAGTCCAAAGGGTGGCAAGACTTACAATTGGGCATATTCACAAAGACCAGTTGTTAAAGCTTTGTTGTAAAGAGCTTGTACCCACTTTCTTGATATGAATCTGTCACACAACTGATCACAAAGAATACGCATGTCACTCAAGTGTTTCAGAGCTTACAAGTGGGCATATCGACAAAGTGCAGCCGCCAGGATTCGACTGTAGAGAGGTTGCAACCCCCTCCTTGACATAAATCTGTCATAAAGCTGATGACAGTGTGCATAAGATTTGTAACCATGCATTATAACGATGTGCAAAACAGAGCTTGCTCTTGTTTTGTTCTCCTCGATTTTTTCTCTTCAGAACGTATACATCCTGAGACTTCTATTACATTCAACCAACGTGGAGAAAAGTTGAATGAAGATACAGCTGAAACTGAAAAACTTACCACAAGGTCCCAAGGGCAGCAAATTGCTACTGCACCACCTATAGGCGTCTTGGTCTTTTCCTCTCCCAAGTACTTTATCTGCAGATTATTAAAATGGTAAGCATTATTAAAAAATTACCTACACTGTAACAAACGCGAAGAAAATACAGTTATCCACATTGAACCTAAGCCAAGAACATTTTCAGCTTCTTGACCATGAGGCTGTTAATATCACCAACCTACGCATAGTAGTAGGATAAGTTTTGCAACCCAAGTTCTAATTTAGCTAGATACTGCTCATCCTTTGAACTGCTCCATAGATTTGCTAAAAGTGAGTATCTCAATAAACAGTCGCCGAGGCACACGTGTCTTGGATTAGACCCGTGCGAAGTAGTGAGATAAAACTTCCAGAGAGGATGAGAAATAACTTAATTTAGATGGATTCGTGAACAGACGTTAAATTTGCCCGTATTGCAGTTCCTCATGAGCGTTCAGTGCAAGTGCAAGAAGTGAGAAGAACAAATAAATTCGTATACACACCAGAATATTGGCACCGATACTCGTTCCGACTGCTATAAGAGGAGACTTTGGATACTTTTTCTGTACATTGGGAATGATTCTTCGCAAATCTTCGGTCCATCCTGCATTGTAGAAATAGTCCGACTGCATAAAACTCCAAAAATTAAGAACATCCTGGATTGAGACAATTTTCGTCCCGCAACAGCTCCTCTTGAATATTCAAAACTGAGTACACGCAGCTCAGCCTAAGGTGTTGCACTTCCTTCGCCAACCTAATAAGCAGAACAGGTTGTAACAGCTTACAGTAATAGAGACTCCACCAAGACCCCTGTGGTTGATGACCAAAACTCGCCATCCCTTATCAGAGAGACTTCCCGCAAGGTGCTTGACATACTGCTTGACACAGAAAATAAAATAAACTTGGTCATACAAGGTGAGTAGGAGCTGATAAACGGAGAAGCAGTCATTCTTCGCCTTGATCTTTCTGAGAGAAACTGGTACAAATTTATGACCAGAGTCGAGTTGCGTACGTGATTACTGGAGTCACTTGTAAGACCTGGAACGATAACTACAGTGGGAGTTTCATCGGAGGTTGAACCCTGACGCGTGTCCTCACCATTTCCATCCTTAGGTCCTGCCACCATATAGTCACCAAAATTGTCAGGACCCGAAACCAACGACACAATTGCTGAACAAACGATCTAAATCCAGCGTGCATGATGAAGATTATCGTATGTGTAAGTGCGCTGAAGGGAAAAGCAAACTTACGGAATGAGTGTGCGAAAGGTGCAGAACGCATGCCAACGACAATCCTTGACAAATAAGGGATTCATAATTTTGGGAGCTATTTGATCGTATGCCAGAAAATTAAAATTTAAATATATCCCTGTAAGGCGTTACTCACCTGAAGATGGGTGGACCCAGTCCAGAGCGATAGTTCCGCCGTCTGGAGTAATATACATTTCCCTAGGATGACGATAGAGGATGGCTTAGTAATCACAAAAATTGTTGACCATTGCTTTTACTTTACCTTTACTTTTTGTATTACATTACATAGGTATAATCCAGATAAACTATGATTTCTCTGTTGTTCATAAACAAAGAAGAAGCAGGATGGGAACCACCCTGCAACGTGCACACTGTATGCCATTGATTACGAAACCTCTGTCAATAGTTTGGTCAAGTGCACCTTTAATGACAGATTGAAAAAGACAATAGAAGACAACATCGCTCGGTTGCAGGAACCAATATTAACTCAAAATTCCTCAGCCTCGATCCGAAGCTCAGAGCAGCCCCATTCTGTGTAATAGATTCTTCGGCCCTAAATCTAAGTAGGTGTTTGGACTAGTGATTGATTCAAAATTCTTATTCTAAGTTTTGCAGCAACCGGGCTTCCTTATCTCTTCAGTAAATTCTGTTTCAGATGAATTCATTTCTACTACTATATCTCAATGGATTAGTCCGTGCGAGTGCAAAACTTGCTCATATTACCTGATAAATCAGCAAGCATGTCAGGACATTACATTAGAGTGTTCTCAGGAACATAACAAATAAGCTTATATTCCAAGGAGGGAAACTTACAACAGCTGTTAGTGCAGATTGGCGGGATAAAGACATGCATACCTTTCATAATTAATTCTTGGGGATCTTCCAAAAAAGTGTAGAAAAAGCGTTTGCAGATGTGGGCTGGCTAGCCAAGGTGTTGGACAGTATCTGCTTGACAATCAAACGAGACTTCAATCAGAAGGGTTAACATAAATGTTCTGAATTGAGTTCTTCTCGTTACCTCATAAGAATGTGTTCACTAAGATTTAAAATCGTAAATATGAAATATTATCGAAGAATAGGACATAAAAAGCGTGGCCAGTGAAATACATAACTCAGAGTAAACCAGCGTTATACAAGCTGCTACAGTTTCACTTCATTGCAATGAAAAGTCAGTCTATGTGACATTCTTCAGCATAAGCAGGTTTCTTTTGTATCTGAAATATGGTTCTGAGAGCCTAAAAGCTTACAGATATTTTGCTCTTAAATGAGACATAAAACTGTGCTCCAAGTCCAACAACCGAAGTTGGACAGTTTATAGGGAGAAAAGAAATGTCAAAAAGCTCACCGCTTGTTCAAAGTTTCGCACTTGGAGAGCAACTGACATACGACATTCGACCTGGGGCTGTGAATCAGGTGGACAACATCGCCTCTCCATCCATTCAAAGCATCTCCAATGAAGTGAAACTCCAGAATATTGTAGAGCCAAATCAGCCCAATTACCGACAGCAACACACCGTACTCCCATGCTGGCACCGATGCAGCTGTAACCAGCAACCTTTTCAATCCTAGATCCATATCCGTAAACCCAAGCTCCCCTTCCATCACTTCTCCAGCTAGCAGGTCGCCCATAGAAATTTAAAAAATTACGCCAACCCACAGCACAAGCCCCGTCCTGCAAATCTTTACAGCCTATTTCTCATGACCATAATGAAGAAACCCCTCCCACTTTCCTCCAATTCAGCTCCCTTCCTTCCTCCTCCCTCCTGAAGGAAACGGCCGCTCAAGAACCATCAATCGAGAGGTGATACTCTATCATCTCAATTGCCTGAGGCACTCCTTCGTTCCGAGCGGTGGAAGCGGTAGCAACAGATCTCATGAACGAAAGAGAGAAGAGAAAGCGAAAGCGTACGACAATTATGAAGAAAGAGCAGAGCGGGTCCGATCACGCGGACGCGCAGTAACTAGACGAAGAAAATTGAGGCCTGGAAAGAGAGGCGATTCGGGAGAAAGCTCGGTCCAATCCTCGACAAAGCGAGAATAAACAATGGGGCAATAATCGATCGATGGCAGGACTGATGCTCTTGATGCAATCGGGGACGCGCCAGTCTGTTGAACAACGCATAGGCTCCTCTCCTCGGCCTCAAGTCGTGTTCCTCCTCTGGCTGCCACAAACATGTGACACGTCGCCTTCTCCCACGTCATCTTCGTCTCAGCCGCTTCCCCTGAACTTTCCACCATGGTTACCTCCAAGTCATCACGGGCGAGGACTCGAGCACTCTGCCTCCCAGGTGGACTTTGCCACATCAGCCTCATTCTCAACCTGGGCCAATGTGTCAACACGCCCCTGTCAACCCTTTGTGGAATGGTCCGTGCCACAAATGAAGGGAATGACGATTGTGCCCCGTGGCCACCGTTTGAACATACCGACTTTAAAATGCTCTTTACTATTATTTTTCAGGATCTAAGATGCCGAATGCCACATCAGCATTGGTCGTCGCCAGGTGTGTGGGTCAGAATCTCAGGACTTATGTTGGAATATGCTGTGGTGCAGGTGATAGTTGGAGGCAGTCTGATCCACGTGCACACCGTAGAGTGATGATTAGCTCCTGTGGTCAAATCTTCTTGCCATTCGGACAGGGCTTAATTAAGCCAGTCTCTGGCTTATTCCCTGCCTCTCTCATCCCCAAATCAACTACTTTCACTTCCCCAATTCTTTCTGAAACTATATTAGTGGACATTTTAAATTGCGACTACTGTAACTCCAACTACATTCCTCGCCACTTCTTTCGGTGTGACAACGAGTTTGGGTCTAGCTACCGGAAAGTTGACATCTGTGTCGCTGGTACGTGGTTAGGTCGTGTTACGACGTAAGTGAGAGAACATCGTAACCTCGTTTCCCAGCTGCTGGATGGGATGCTCACGTCACGCCGGGAGAGGTTGAGGAAGTACAACGAGTTACCTTCGGTACGAAGAAGTCAATCTCTGCTTCGTATGGAGTTCATTACAGAATGCGATATTTTTTGCACCAAAGTATCCTCTGCATTTAGCATCGTTGAGAGGAGCTGTTGGAGAATTGCCTTCGAATATTGATAGAATTCCTCGTCGTCGTCATTAGAGTTAGTTTGACGCTTGATCCGCAATTCATGATCGGAGATTCAATTATTGACCTCCACTTCTGCGGGTAGGCACAAACTTCGGCACGCCGGTTGAGATGTGTACTTATTTATTTACCTATCGATGGAATGATGTTTTCACTTCTTCTGGTGCTCCGGGAAGGAAGGGTTGCTGCTCTGGCTCCGATAAATTTCCTTTCCATTTTGCAAGCGTCTACATAAAAAGGACAAACTCACTACAAGCATTATAGTCCTATAGTATAAAGTCCTCGACCTTTTCAGTGTAAAGGTCGAGGACTTTATTTCAACATGGGATTCAATAACCCATATGACCTTGTCGAAGTATTAATCGACTCTCGTCGTAGAGCGTACTAGAGCTCCCATGCTATGAGGTAAGGTTATACCTTAATTGGTGAACTGTTTAGTAATACTGTAGACAGTGTTTCCATTATCACACATAGAACATAAGTCGTTGTCAATAACTAGTAACCACATTATGTAATGTTACGTAGATATTCATGTAACATGTAGACGGTTGAATATGTGAAATATAAAAAAAAATCACGATTTATTCCATTGTGATGTTATTGGATACAGGAATGTAACAAGCCTTGTGAGAAAAGTGGCCAAACGATAGGTTACTATGATGTGAAATCTTCACAAGGAATATTGGAATTGGAATTAAAGTCCAAACCCTAATAACCCGATGTGGTAATCTGTACAACTTGATGTGTCCCATACTTCTTCCCATATTACTCCGTTTACATTCAAATTATTAAACAGTTTGTAAACAACACAAGACATGATCGTAATGTTGATGATTACAATGAGATAGTTTGATTTTCATTTCACCTGGTTACTCATGATAATCTTGTGGAACGAGTTCTTTCTTGGTTATAGAATCAGATAATTATTTTTTCCGTTATTGAAAAATATGCCCAAGCTTTATATAATCAAATGTTTTGAATACGTGTTTATGCACAAAAATCTTTTTATTTCGAAAGATTTATCATCGTATCAGATCGTAAAACTCTAACAACTTAATTTTTAAGAAAAGTTCATCTTTATATCTTCCATGTTGAAAAATCGATTGTTGAAATATTTTTGATACTTATACTTGTTGGATTCTGTCATTTCTTAAATATTATCCTATAATAGATATATTTTTATTTTATACTTGTACTTTATAGCTCAATTAAATAGTATAAATTTCTATCTAAAATCTTCTTCTATCAATGCCAATTTTCAACAGGCGTGACATACAGTTATGAGATCTGTTTTTTAAATGATTTCTTAAATAATTTCTACAAATTAAAGTTTTTTATCTAAACATAATAATGAATTTTTAAACTATTTAAATTTCCAACGAGAAAAAACTGAAAATCTTGACATTAATTATATTCGTATAATCTATAATACAGCAGGAAAGCCTGAAAATTTATTTTATTTAAGGCTCTTTCCCTGCTGCTTTTTTTCAACCGCTTTTTTATTGTCATGTTTCTTTTAAGTACAGTAGTCGGGTAGTAGTAGTAGGTAGCCACATTGATTTATTGAGTTCAATTTGTTAAGTTGTTCATACAACAGCTAGGACGTCATGAATATTCTACCAGTAGTCTTATACTTGTGATATTTTACATTGGGTGTGCGTGCTATGAACGTAAGAAATTCATGAACAATTAAACATTTTTATTTCATTTATAGGAAAAGATAGTTCATATAGAAAAAAGAATTCAAACATTACTGGCAAAATCTGAATTACCTAGCTAACTGTTCCCAAGCACAGTCCCTTGGATTAGAAGCCGACTACTGCACTGAATGAAGTCTCCAGTTTGTTTTTAAGCGTTTACGTAGAATCCTACTGCCAAACTATACTTCCTCCTCAATCCCGCTCATGACCTGGCACTGAGTCTCTTCAAGTATGGATTTTGCTACTGAGATACCCAGTTTTTTCCAACTCACTTTATTGTAGATAATCCAAGTACCAGTATCATCTCTTACAAACATATGACCAGATATACCAGGTTACACAAACTCAATTCCTAGAGATATGTAGAAGTTGAAATTTGAATGATGATATCATCCAAGCATGACTTCTACGTATCGTAACATACAATCAATGAGGTAGATGCTTGATACCAATGTACTCTTGATGTTCATCTTTCCGATAAGTAGTTTCTGAACGAAAACCGAGTGTATTTCACCTGCATCTGAGTTATGGGCGGAATGTAGTAAGATTATGTTTATTTTTCACATCTTTTCTTCGAAGCAGCTAGCACTTTAGCTGACTAACGTACAAGCGTTGTTCCTACTTGTTATGCTCTCAGTGCAGGTTTAAGTGTTCTTGTCGTTCGCCCTTCTGACCTAAACGAAGGTTGCTTTTCTGAGCACAAGGGTGCTCTGTGTCCGTATAATGAGGGCATGCCGTTGTATCCTGACAGGCATGTAAGTGCCATTCAGATGGTAGCATGCACTAACTGATTGAAGGCATTCCAAAGTTGTCATGGCTCAAAAGAGAGAGATCGAAATGTTTCTTTAGTTTTACCATCTAATACAAAGTCTAGGGATGGTAAGTGGAAGAGGCCTGGCCAGCTAACTAAACTTTTCAGAAAACTGTAGACCTAATCTGGACATTCGAAAGCTAGTTTGCTCAAATTGTACACGTTGGCCATCGGCCTTCTCGGATCTTGTTATCAAATATTGAATCTGGACACAAATAGACTTTATAACTAACTAGGTGTCTACTTAGAAACCTCCACGGCTTCAAATACTCGATGCGCTCGTGGTTGAAGCATTCTAGCACATAGCTCTGACAAAGAATTGTATTAATCAACTATAACATACACTACTCTCCCTGTTTCATTGTCGCTGACCATCCTGCGGCTGTTGAAGCTGTGCAGAATCTTTTGGGTCAAAACTTAGCAATCCATGTAGCTCTAAATCACCTGAATTTCTCGACGCTTCGGCGTCAATCATATCAACTCCATCGATTTCCATTTCACCTTCTGACAGAAGGTAAGTGACTTCTTTGTCCTGGCGTATAGCAAGGTATATGATGGCTCCTAGATAAACGAGGATGCCCAAGACTCCACTCGACCCTAGTAAGATCAAGCTAACAATGGAAAAGCTACTGTGCAATATCCAATCCCAGAGAGCACTTGAAACAAAGTATATGTTGATCAACATGACACAAAAACCGATGACCCAAGTAACCGATGTCACCTGCAGGGTATGCACAAGGATAGTGAGAGAAATTCGATTTAATCGTACTAAAAACAACATATACAAGAAAAAAATGCTTAAACCATTCTTCCAGTAGACAAAATGAGACTTCTAAAAGAGGCTTCTCACCGTTAAAGAATTCGCGTATGGGCCCATCTTGGTTGTACTACTCGTGAATTTCAATAAAGGGATGAGTGCAAATGGAAGCTCGAACGACAAAATCATCTGCGAAAACCACCAAACAGATGAGTCGAAAAGTTTCCAAAACCCGAAAAGCCACGTAGTGTGTTCTCCAACCATAACAACATCAAACGTGCTCCCGATTGCTAACCTGCTATTGAACTCTGATAGTTTTGCAAACATTCCGGATGCTAAAAACCAATTGGGCAGCATGACTCGGCCTTACACAGTTTTAAATTCCTATCATTCACATAGGATACGAGAAACTTTATACGACACTGCTTACCGATGAAATAATAATCAACTTTCCGGCTCCTGCAGATCCTCCTATGAGTGCAACAATCAAACTTGGTACGATTGCCACACTTCGAGTCAAAAGGTTCCTCAGCCAGGGCTGAAATTGTAGGTTTAGAAAACCCTGTATAAAGACGAGCCACGACAGATCTCAATATTATCCTTCTTAGGAGTTCCATTTTGTAATATAACTTGGAGACAGTTTGCTGTGAACCAACAAAACTGGGTATGTAAAAATTTCAAAGCGGACTTTCCTACATGGATTACTCGCATACCTGCATCACATATTGCCCGGCATATGTTCCCGTGATAGTCGAGCTCTGACCTGATGCCAGCAGAGCTATGGCAAAAAGTTGAAAGCTCCACCTACCAAGAACGTTCTGTGTACAATTTAAAAGAGGAGATTAGATGCTGAATAATACGTCCAACGACAAAAGCATTTCAGATCTAAAATTTGAAGATAAAATCGAAAAGCTGTGTGTAACCATGGTAATAGAATTACCTACTCGAAGTAAGAAAGAAGCACGATTGAGATCCAAGTTGCTACAACTGTCACGATTTTCTTCGGACAAGTCCTTGCTGCTGCATACGGCTCCGCTTACGGAAATGACACATACGTTGATCAGGAAAGACAAAAAGAGGGCAAACCCACTTTCCACAAGGTAATACCTGCATGCATCCTGTAAAATGGGAAAAAAAACATTTGTCAGCAAACTACACTGGCAGTATAAAAACGACAAATTCGGTGCCCATTGAATCCCCTAACTCAGTAGACAGAACCTCTGCACTTCTTACATCACAATAAAAACCAACTACAATTATAACGTTAAAAACATCGACCACTCACAAGTATACCTTAATACTGGATGTATTCCTTGGAATTTTCCGTGTCAAAACCAGGGCGGAATGGAGAAAAAGGTTGTGTCTGCACTAACAAAATAACAGTTGTTTAGAACCTTACATTCCACCTCCCGGACGCTTCAAGAAGGTGAGAAGTGAGAATAAGTACATGTTTTTCAATCGTATTCAAGTTTTGTGCGTAAATCATTACGATTGAGAGAATAACGAAAACAGTCAACAGCAAACCAATACTGTCCCAGAACATGCTCAGGAAGGATATAGACTATTCGCAAGAGGACAACTTGATTTGCATTTATACACTCGGGGATATTCCAGTCCCACGCTACTTCTCGTCATATTCGGTCCAAATCAGGACTTTAGTACTATTACATTTCAAATGTGTGAATGACATTAAAATTTCGTGTGACATCTCAATAACCTCATCATTGACATTTCGTGGACAATTTCACGAAATAATCATCACCTAAAGCAGATATCTAGGGACTAAAATGATCTGCAGGAATATTAATAACACCCTACCCTTCTTGATGTAAAATGGTGAGCCACACATTTACTACCAAAAAGTGTAAGTAAAGGCAATAATTTTTGGAATAACTTAGCAGAAGCACACAAAAGGTAGACTTACGGCATGACCATGGCCCCCAGGAGAGAGATAGCAAGCCCTGTCGCTCCCGATCCATCAAGTTTTGGAACAATTAAGCCAGTCAACATGTCACCGAGAGGAGGTGACGCATATCCCAGCTCCACAAAAAAGCAAGCTGCCATCGTAAACACCAAAAACGCAATCAATAACTCCAGCTTGCGAACCTGTGTAGCCACATCCAAACAAAAGAAACAGGACTTCATCCGTTCAGCATTGATGAGAGATAGAGGAGCAAAAACTTCCACTTTCATCTAAGCTACAACAGAAGGGATACTGACAAGGCTGACAAGTCCTCCGAAAGTACAAATATGATGTATACATAAGGATTTAATTACCCCATATTGCTGCAGTGCAAGAAGCATGAGAGTACTGAAGCCGGTGAGTAAGACTCCGGCCCACACAGGAATTCCAAAAAGCATATTCAACGCATAGGCAGACCCAATAACTGCAAACAACAAATAACCTGAGTTAGGCAGCAAATAAAAGTCTGAGCTCTGCGCTTAAAGATAAATAACATTGTGCACTAGTATACAAAACTTCACAAATAGATGTTGAAATATTAGAGCATGAATCACCGCTCATCCGAACCAGCGAGCAGCACCTTCCGGGATATCACTCGCAACAATTGCGAGCTCAGCGAGCAACCACAACCCCAAGTTTATATTCCTTGGATACTCCGATCGGCAGTGCTCAGACAGGTGCTTTCCTGAAAAGGGAAAGTACGGCAAGTTGAGCTGACTGACAGAACGGTTGCAGCACTCCCACGATAATCCTCATAGAAAAACACACCCACTGAATTTTGAAATCAGCATGTCTCACCTGATACAACACCCAAGTTCGCTGCTAAAGACTGAATGATCAACGCAAAACAAGAAGCTAGAAGAATGACCCATAGCAACTGCACAGGTCACAACAAAATTCAGATTAGACACAACAAGAACTGCAAGCAGAGCAATCTTTTGAACAGATTTTACTGTGTTGTCATTAATTTGACCAAGTGGAACTTATTGATGCCAGCTAAGGATAAGAAGCCTGACAGTGGCCGAATTGCATCGACGTCGTCCAGTTTGCCCAGGAATTGCGCCTCCTATGGCCCGACCTACCATTTGGTTCTCTGGTTCATTATACGATTATCAAATCAGAAATCAGAAGGTTTCTACTCAACGAGGTAAAATAGCTGAGCTAGGATCAAATGCGACTCTGACCTGGTACTGGTAACGCGCTCCTGCTTGCAAGTCACTTTCAACTGCCCACCACAAATTCTCAATTTAGTGACCAGCTTCATTTAAATTAATCCAATCCTCCAAATAGGACACAAAACAGCTAGGTGTCCAGCCTACATACAATTTCCAGGGTCGATGTAGGCTATCGACACCAAGAATCCGGGACCAACATATGCCATCAACTTTCGCCATCCGCGTCTCTGCAATCGCAAAAAAAACACCCATTCAGTACGCGTTTGCTGATTTGGAGACTGAAGGAACTATGAGAATTCCGCATAATCTACGACTCTGCACTTAAAGCCAAGGAGGTCCAATATGGACTTCTGTCGCCGCGGTAACAACCGAACGGGTGTTGCCGCAGCCCATATCGCACAGCCGGACCCGAGTTTTCCGATCACAAAAGCATCCTCTTGGATCATCTGATTCACTTGATATGCACCGCCCCAAGGACCCCAGAAGACAATCTGTCCCTAGATCGCGACCACTTTGAACCTACTCTGCTAGCTCTTCTTCATGGCATGTCCTGCTCTTCCAAATTATAGGTTCCACGGATGGGAAGATAATCACTAGCCGCAATGTTCCAAGTAAAAATATCATTTCTTCTCTTTCTTTCCGTTAAAAGATCGCAACGGCGATTCGAGGCATGTACTTGATAGCGGAGTCGTTTAATTAACAATTCCCCACCCATCATCATTCCTAAGGTGTACAACTTCGCACAGAGTAGGAAACGCTATAAGAACCAAATACTCTGCAGATCACAAATTTCGATATGCAAAGAAGAGAAAAGAAAAGAAGGGGCGTTCGTTCGTACATCTGGAACGTCCACTTCATCGACCTTGACACCATCCCATTCTCTATCAGGTTTCGACGGCAGAGGCTGCTCCGATTTGCCCGTGTCAACATCGTCGAAATCCGAGGAAGTGTTGGCAAATTCATATGGATGAACATGATGAGAAAGTGCTTCCGAATCTGGCGCCATCGCTCCCAACCAGTCCGGAACCGCATAAACAATCTGGAGGTCTTACATATAAGACATACGAGGCGCCTGCAAATCTCGGCTCAGTCCCAGAGCAAATGTCTCGACAGCGCTCCTCATCATAAAAACATTCCCGGACTCAAAACACAGCCACAGTTCCACAAACCACAGAGCAGGAAGCGACAATGAGGCCCGACCGACCCACCAACAACAGAAGGGTCACAACGGAGACCAACAGCTCCCCCCAAGGCTACAGCAGGACACAGAGGAAGAGATCAAACCAAACACGGAGCGGGTACCGGATACAGCCCCGTCAATGCACGCAGTCAGGCAAGGGGCGCACTCGAATTGAAACCCCGTCTCAAATCCCACACATCTCAACCCAGACCGACCCAGACCAGACACGCTAACATCAGCCGCAGTTGCCGACCCCCGTGCCGTCCCGTCCTCTCCTCCTCCCGAGGGCAAAAGAAGAAAGATCAGCAGAAATGCAACGCAATTGCTCGAGAGAAAATGCCGAGAAAATGCCCTTCCTCGGAGCCCCGGCCACGTCCTCACTTGGGAGCAAACTCAGAATCCCTCTCCCCGTCGATCTCTCGTCGTCTGCTACTGCTGCTGCTGCTGCTCGTTATTCGTCCTCGCTCCCGTCGCCGCAAAGAAGCCGCGGGCGGGGCCAGCAGAAGCAGCGGCGGCAGCAGCTGCCTCTTCGCGAGAACGAGAGCAGAGTTATTTTTAAATGATCCGGTGGTCCATAAACCGGCTAGCTGCTGACCGGCAGTCGCTCGCACGGGCAGGCGGGCGCTGGAACTCGTCGTGCTAGTGAGAAAGGGCCGACGACGCCCGCACAACTGCTTCACGAGCTAGCTCCTCCAGACTCTTGTCTCATTCTGCGTCCGCCTGCAGATGTGGCATGCCGCAAACGCAGGGCCCCGCCGCAGGGACTCGACGAACACCCTGAGCTCTGCTCGATGTCTCGTCGCCTCGGGATTCAGAGATTCAGAGATTTAGATCCTCCGCGAGCTGCTGCACGACAAGACACTCACTCGATCGCCTCGCTCCGCAACCAGAAGATGCCGCTCTGTGCTTGTCCATGGCCTTCTTCCATCACAGCGAATTGCAGTCGCGAACTTTGCGATGGGCACTGGAGGAGACAGGGAGAGCGTGACATTGCACGTTTAGAGGGACGCTGTCCCTGGCCCGGGAGGCCATTGACTGCTCATCTTTCTTTCTCCTTGCTGCCTGCCTCTCCCAGATTTCTGTGGCGTCCGGTTTGTTCCTCGGCACGACACACACTCATGATGAACTTTGACTTGATATGTACTCCCGTTTGGTTCTTCTCACGGACGGATTTCTGCTCATGATGGCTCTGACTGACTGGCTTTGGATTTTCTCAATAAATTCGTCATAGCAACAGGACTGGCATTCTGGATTCGTCCTGGCCCCAGACGTGCCTTGTATTTCCTGTCCTCTCTGTCCTGAAGCATCGACCTTCCCCTTTGTGTTTATGCTCCATGGGCTCCCAAGTGATGCTACTATTACTTGGCCCCTTGGATCTTGAGGTAGTCCACGCGAGTGCTATGCTTTCCCCGTTTGGTGTCATATTCTTGGTTTGAGTGTCCAAGCTTATGAGTTTTGAAATGGGATTAGAAAGGAATGTGCCTTGCTGATTTTGTGTACTTGACGTTTGTGAGACTGTGCACCTTTGTTTGATTCTCACAATTATGATGAATAAATTACATAAATCCCCGAGGAGAAGAAAAGAAACAAATCTATCACTAGGATAATTATCTTCTCCAATCATCTGATTTCATATTCCACAATATTTTTTAGGTTAATTTGGAGATCTTTGTTATGCATAGGACATGATTAATCTGACGCATAATTTTGGGTTAACTTGCTGACTATATTATTTCCTTACTCATGCATAAACTCTAAATATTGACCTTAAAGAAACAAAGTGCATCCAAGTTGTGAGGTCCATAACTAAATTTTTCATAATTATTTTCTATACTTTTACGCTGGAGATTAATTTACTGAGTCTAGATTATATCATAAAGTGATTTGATTAATGCGTACCAAATTTAAAATTACGTGTTTTCTACTGAAAGAAAATTTAAGATTTTTTAAGCCTTAAATATATTTTTTACAAGTTTGTCACAGATATCTGCTAATAATTTAACATCATTTTTCTTTCCATTTGACTTTATAACCAAATTTTATTTGAATGGCTTTTGAGTATCATAACATGTATCAAATTTGTTCTTTGAGGACATTAACAAATTTGATACATCTCAACCTGAAATTACATTAAATATATGAATTCGAGTAGAAAGTTAGAGCTAAAATATGACATCGTATTTTTTCACTATTGAAAAAAATTATGAGAGGAAATATAACGAAATTCAGGACAACTTATCTGTCGAGTTTCGCACCTCCCCGTCGTTCTGATTGATTAGACTTGGCACCTCTTATCACCTTGGGAAAATAACAGGAGATCGCAGTCTGGTTCTTTGTTAGCTTTATCACCTCATGCGTTCCAAAACAAAGAACTGTGGCAAAATCGAATCCGATTGAAGAGTTAGAGTTTTATCCCTAAACACTTGAAAACCGCTCATTTTCCACAGTGCTTGTAGCACACAATGACGTCGGTGCTTGAGAATCCTTACGACATACACATACGTACGGACATTTGTTGTCCAGACTTTAGATTTCTACCGCTACAGGTACTGTAGATTTCTAGCTTTCATCCAATGATATTTTATCTAGCATGTACAACGTCGTGGGGGAAGATGACTCAGTCAAATAAGAAAAAGTATGGGAAGACCCCATTCACGTCATGGAGGGAGCGAAGTACATGCTAAGTATGAAATATGGAATTTAACGTGTGCTAGCAATTTCATGTACACTACCGTGGGGAAAAATTGTTTTAGAGACAAATCTCGAAAATTGTGCCCTACAAATGTAGATTCCGATTAAAAAAACTGTACAAATGAACCTTACAATGAAATATTATTGGCCCAGGCTATCAGTCCCATCCACTCAAAACAAAAGAAGGTTTGGATGGATAAAAACATCTGGTCTCGATCCTTGTCGTAAAAAGTTGTAAAAGTTTGTGTCGAAGTGGAGCACTGTTTGGATCATCGGTGCCGTTTGATCTGACAAGGAACGTCACTAAACACTTTCCTATTCATCTTTACAAGTGTCATTTACTCGATCGATGTTCAACAGTTGGGTCATTTCGGGCTTCTGATTGGCCGGGGGACGTCGATATTACAATACTTGCACATATTATGATGCGGGGACTTGGTCAACCTTTTCCGAACCGGGCTGACCAAATCAGAATATCCCCTTCATAACCTAGCTTTTGAGAGAGAAAGAAAGCAGGGAACATATTTCGCTATTGGATTGCACAACATACACCTACCCGAGCATATTCTGTTTTATTCAAGACTGAAATTCAAAGGTTATAGTTCATTATTGGAATCTTGTCTCAAGGAGCTAGCAATAAAAATGAAATGCAGTATGAGGAGTGAGTTCTCACCAAGCAAAGTCATATCTCCATGGGTCGAATTAGAGCTGAATCATGTTTAATGTACCATTCGCATGTACTTTATGATGGCTCATAAATGTTGTAGTGTATCTTGGATGTGGATAAAAATTGTCATTAAGAATAATTTGCATCATGCTAGTTATTTTGCTCATCTAAGGTATGATATCACATAGAATGGATGTAAGAAGATATATTAGAATATACCTAATATTATACTTTAGTTACAAACTAAGATCAAAAGTAGATGTTCTCTACAATGCGCTATACAACGAAGTGAAAATAGATGTAATATCAAGTTGCATTGATGTGAACATGATGTTAAAAAACAAAAATGAAAGTCTCTTAGCTTCCTGTGTTCCATTATACACTGATTGCACTTGAGTCCATTCCAGCATAATACAGTCGGTGACACTTTTTTTTCCTTCCTCACATGCATGCAGTTGTTAAAGCTAAAATACAGTGCATGCCACTATGTGAATACATGCATGTTATACATGACCTAAAGAGCGTTATCTACTGTAAAGATCAACGAAAAGAAGACAACAAAATTATTAAGAACATTAGTCATATTACTTAGGGAAATGTTAAATCGACCCATCTTTTTACTAAATCGACTCATCACTTGAGAGATTGATTGATAAACAATACATAACAGTTAAATTTAACAGGAAGTTTGTTATGTTATTGTTAAATCGACCGCGACCCATCTCTTTACTAAATTGACCCATCACGTGAGAGGCTGATTGATAAACAGATAACAGTTAAATTTAACAGTAAGTTTGTTATGTTACCGCGACGAGTACAAAAATTTAAAAAGTCACTTGATGGATGGATTTAGTAAAGAGATGGGTTGATTTAACATTTCCCTATTACTTATTACTAAAGTAAAATTATAGAGTCTTGAAATTATACTTAGTAAATTACACATTTACGTGTATACGATAATGCCCAGTAATTATGAGGAGGTCTCAAAATCCATATAATCTTAATTTTTTTAAATTTATTGAAAAAAGAAGAAATAAATTTCACATTATTAAGTAAGATTTTATACTATACTATTAAAAATATTTTAATATCTTTTAAATTTTTTTAGAAAGTCCAGACTATATTCAAAATATATAGGTTAATGATCCTGATTTTCCGAATATAATTTTGAGATAGATTTGTAATACATATAGATATTCTCATAGAGATAATGATATAAATGCTCCAGTTTTAAGGTTTTTCACAATAATCTTTGAATGACTTCAAAATATCATACATAGACTAAAAAAATCCCCTGATTACAGTAAAAAATATTTTATAAATGATTGAATAATATGGAATACTGGAATGAGAGAATTTGTTCAAAAATTTCGTCTGATAAGTGGTTTATGCGAGTGAATACAATATCATGAAAGGCTACTCAATAAATTATGCAGAATCGTGTATATAATTAATATATATATACAGCATTCTGAGTTTTATAATCTTATATTTCTGACTTTTTTTTGTAGAGGAATTCTTACTACAGAATATTAAATTGAATTTATTCATATATCCAAGTTGTGTATGCTAGTAAAAGCACGGGAACACCAAAAAACGCTATTGATGCATTCTAAATGAATATTTGCCTTGTCGAGAAGTTTCATCTCTACGCATCCTAAACAGAATCTTGGGAACTTATACTTCCGTATAATCTTAGTGCAAATTTTGATATGCTGTATATATGCGCAGATGTTTTCTTTGGATCCAAAATAATCGTGTTTAAATTTTAAGCAATGACTTGTATGCTTTAAAAAATTATATTTCTTATTCCCAAGCTCATCAAATCCATCAACCAGCAGTATACAAGAAGGAGGAAAATCTGGTATCGATCAACTTTGGAAACTGATGGTGACAATTCCAGGTACTGCTAGTAAGGTTAGCAAATAGAGACATTTTTGAAGAACAAGCTTAAGTACATGCCCGTGAGGAAGCTGCAATAAGCATGGAAGTTGCATTAAAGTGCCAAAATAATTATTATAAGGCTACCTTACATTTTACAACTGGAAGATTCGTGACTTACCTTTATAAAAGAAATTCATTTTCAGGTTATTTAATTTGCATATTGAGATTAGAGACAGAAATGGAGATGGTTACCTCGCGAATGGTCTGTTGTCTTCCATCTCTCGCTTTCCTTTGGCCTAACCAACCCCAGCCAAAGTAGCACAAACGCTCTAATTTTAAAACACTTATCCGCACCGACGCAGTATGTCTCCCTTATCTACGTCGACTGTACTACTGTAGTACAGCGTTAAGGAAGCTAAATCTGGACTTAACTTGACCAGTCAGTCTTGAGGAAGGTAAAGCTTGGACGGAAACCCAGCCACATACAGAGTGAGAGTTGCTAACGCACTGTGGTTAACGAAGTAGGGACAATCATGGTGCCTCGGGTTTACACGGTTCGTACCCAAATTAAGAGCAGCGGGAGTGCCACATGGCCAGTGGACGGCACACGAACAAGCATACGGGCGTCACATGCTGCCGGTGGCCACCACACTCACGAGTGGGCGCGACGGACGAAAACCTCCTCGCGTCTCGTGTGGCGGTTCCGGCCGGCCGGCAGGAACGGCCGACGCTCGAGCTCGGAGCTTTCGCGTCCAAGATATATTCCCAAGACGTCCCCGCGAGGAACCGGCGCTTCCCGGTCCGATGGCCTGTCGCCTGACCGGATACCGGCGATGCCACGAGCATCAATACCTTGCGAAATTTCTCTCTGCGCTGCTGCTTGTGAACATCGTCGTCTTCAGAGAGAGAGAGAGAGAGAGAGATCCGAGCCGTCATCCTGATACCACTTGTCGCGGGTGATCTGAACTGCGGATGTGCAATTTCTGGGTCACGATTCGTACCTCGATTGGGGTTGCAGAGGAATATTTTGGTTTGTACAGGAGGTGGTTGTCAAGTGCCCCCGTCCCGATGCTGCTGACTCAAGCCCGTCACCTGTCTGTCACTGATCGGCTCTTGGGTTCTTTTCTGTGGTGAGCTCCTATCACCCCTTTTTTGTCCACGTGTGGACTCGGGCTCGGGGGCTTACATCTTCTTCTGTCGGAGACCGAGAGACGGACTTTCTTTCCGAAGCTTCTTGTACGTGTCGATTCCGAATCCTGCGTCCCGAGAGGGAATCTCCTGCTAATTTGAGGCAAACACGTCCATCTTGCTGGAATTTTGTGACCGATTTAGCGATGTGATCCGGCATTCGGTTGATTTGATAGCTAGATTATCTTCGCCTCTAGTCATGGGGACCTTTGGGCCACTTCCACTGGGTTCTGGATTTCGAGGGCATTGGAGGATGAGAGGGGACGTCTGAGGTTGATTCTGTTGAGCATACAGGGCTGGGATTCCACGGACTATTTGCTGCAGAGCTACTAGACTCAGCTTTCTCGCTACCTATAACGTCCCTGTCTGGAAATTTCCAGAGCTGTTTGGGTCTGGAAGGAACTTCTGCAGAGGTGGTGTACTCAGATTGAAGGCAGTTGTAGGGGCAAGAGCACGAGGATTCCGGTTCATCAGGTTGGGGTTCATCGGATGGCGATTTATAATCAGCCATCTCTTCCAACTTCCCTTCGATGTAACCATGACCGCCTGTTCCACATTACGTCACCTTTCAAACATTAAGCCAACTTTCTGAAAATGCAACATCATATGTAGCGAGTGCGGGTCGAAGAGGTAAGAGTTGAAACAAAACACGTGCATTTGTGGTGAACAAGATTGTCGAGTGAATGCCCCAAAAGAGACGCCAATGAAGCCAAAGATGGATTGCAGCGAAGGCATGGGGAGATCACTCCGCGGTCGTCTTTATACAACACATCGATTCTACGAGGGCTATGGCAGCTGATTTTCCTCCTTCTCAGAGCTGAACTCATTTCAATTAAGAGAAGAACCAACTCAACTTTAAAATACATCTCGTCCTCCATGAACTGTTATCGGAGAGGAGTTCTTGCTCTCACCTGCCTCAAATACCAAGTATTCGACCCTACAGACCCTCTAAATGAAGGGACCTTTAGATGTGAGGAAAAAACTGAAGCCAACTTCACACTCAATGGTGTGGTTCCTGCAATACACCAATGCTTAAGGGCTAAACAAAGCTTACACTGAGGTTCACGTTTCTACCACGACCAAGGGGTATCTTCCATACCCAGGCACCCACCAGGTTTGTGTCCAGGAGGTAAGAGAGTGAAATGGTTGTATTTCATTCTACGCTTGAGTTCAAATTCGTTCACCATCAAAGCCCGGTTGTCTTGGTAAAATTGGTATTCTCTCGAAGTGACGGGACGAGCAGGTAGAGGACGTAGTTCTCGGGTTGTCTTTCCATATGACTTCCCATAGACATGCTGCACAGAGGATATTCAGAGAAGCAAGCACAGTCGACAATTCAGTAAACAGTTCACTTAAGCTTGTTCAAAAAACTAGACATATTGTTATTTCACTTTCACGCCGCAGAAGAAAACCAAATCACAACGAAATTTGACTGTCAAAGTGACAAGACCACTCACTACGTAGATAGTTAGTTAATCACACACCTGCTTGGCATGGTAATGACCAGAGTAGCCCTTGATGTGATGTCTGGCCTCCGCTACTTCAAGACAATCATCCTTCAGCGCTTCAAACTCTCTCTTCGTACACAGGTGCCGGTCCTTATACGGAGGGTCTGGTATAGACATGTGAGGAGCGCATGTTGTGACACCCTCGGCTGTGGTCCCTATACATGTTCTACAATTGGTTTCCCAAGACCACAATTAGCTCTTACTTTGAGTTGAAACAAGCCTCTGACGGTAGTTGTAGTGGAGGGATCAGGTCGAATCAAGCACAATAAGGGACATCTCGTACAAGCTTGTACACTCAAGATTCAAAGAAAACTGGTCGTCTCTTATTTGACGAGAATTGAGATCAGTAGTACAGGGCATTCTGACGAGCACTAGTCAAGATTCGACTTCTCATTCATTCCACATCCGACAAGCTCATGTGGTGTGTTGTGTGGTGAGAATTCAATTTGCGTGGAGTAAAACGAGAGTGGATATGATATATGCCTCCTCGAAACTTTTGTTTGACTGCCAAACAGTGCAAATAAATTTTATAACTTTGCAGTCAAGACTTGAAAGCGAAGTGATAATTGAAGCCTTCTTGCTTTCCAGGTTGACTTGGGCAGTGGTTACTCTCAGTAACGGTGAATTTACTGACATGGAGCAAACTCTTACTTCATTTTCCGTACGTCTACCAAACCAGATGTCGCTGTCATTTCGATGGGTAAGTCTCGCTTGCTGGCAATCCAGTGTATGGCCTTAGGCGGCTGTTCTAATGCAGCTCGAGAAAGTTGTGCATAGAAAAAGTTTCTGTCTTGAGGTCGGGATTCCACTGTCTGGAAAACGTTGGGACCAACTTCACAACATCAGTGACTGTAACAACGACTAGCTGGGAGAGAGGTCAGTCATGTATACCCTTCGTATATGATAAGCAGAGGGATTGAGGAATTGCATCTGATTTCCTCGTGACACAAAACTCGTGGTTTTTTAAGTTGTTTTAGTCTCACATAACCCTGACTGAAGCTTGGTTTCATGTGTAGACAGTTAAATTTCTGTGCAGATTATCATCTCACGACGAATGAAGTCGACTCGCTGTAGATGGTGCCATGCACATAATAAGGGTTTCCAACTTGCGCTGCGGAAATTAGGGTAAGAGCACACAAATCTGTCCAAGTCTATATGCCTTAATTATCTAATCTTTCCCTGCTTTATACTTAATGATCTGTTGCGTGAACTGGTCCAGTTCAAACGATGGGTCTTACGTAAGGAGTAGAATTTTGAGGAATTATTTTTTGTTTGAAGGCCACATTGCAATTCGATAGTCTGAACTTGGAAAGTAGAAGGAAGTGACCTCTAGTTAGCTTTTGTGAAACTTTCAGAAAACTCGTTCATATTTCAAAATGGCACAGACAGATCTGCGTATTTAACTTAACACTCCTGGGAGAGAGCTTAAGATGTGAAGTTTCTATGGGATAACACCCATTCAACAGGTTAGAGTAAGGGCTACTTCTACATGGCGCTTCCACCTCCTCCTTCCGGGAAATTTATGACAAGATTTAGACATCAAAACGACTGAGCTCAGATAGCTTGGAAAAACTTGAGAGTGTTAAATGAGTCAAGGAGTTTGACAAAACGTACGACTATTCAAGCATACGAATCCTCAAACAAGTGAAATCGGAAGAAGAAGGGAGACAAGAATTCACACACCAATTCAATAGCCTTCGGGTACGACTTTTTGCGAAGAGAGTCAGTGCACGCTGCCGCTCGTCTGGTCGAATCACCATAACTGTGACCGATCAGGTGATTCCGCATCGCCGGGATGAATCCCGTGTACCCGGGCACTGCGGGCTCTTTGCCCAACTTGGCCATGGTTTTCTGTCGGAACGTCATGGTGGCAAAATTTGCAAGACAAGGGCGTGGTTGTGTAAATTGTTGTCAAAGAAACGACCAAAACTTCTTCTTCCCAATAGAGTCAATCACGTTCACGATGTCCAAAGATCAGCGGTGCAGCCGCAAACGGGGATCGTCGAGCGGCGAAGACAGGTGACAGGAACCAGGGACAATCAAGAAAGGGAACTCGAAACTCGATTCCTGACGCTCAATCGACAAACGCTCTAGAGGAGGGCATCGATGCGCTCGTGAAGAAGCCAGCGCCGAGAAGCCAGCGCGCCCTCTGCCACGCCAGACAACGCAGCCCACGCGCCAGAGCGGTGGCAGGGGAGCGATAACTGACACTTTCGCGACCCGCTGTGTTTCCACAAGCAGACGTGCACTTCGCCGGAGCCGCATTCCCACAAAGGCTCGACGGAGGCAAGCCGCGCAGTGCCAAGCCAGACCCCGGCAACGAGGTGGACTTCATCCCTCGAGCCCTCGCCGGATAATCTGCATCCCGCTCCTCCTCCCCACTACGGGGCGACGACACGATACTCCGACGCCATAGCCTTCCTTTCGGGGCGCGAACCGTCACACGAGTCGACTGACATGTCGCAAGACGGCAATCATCCAAATCGCCCGCGTGCTCGCGTGACCGAAGGGGCGCCAGGACGGCACAATCGACGTTCTGCGATCTGATCGCAGGGTACGCGATGTTAGGCCAGCCCACTGATGCCACATCAAATCACTTCTCGTGCATCTGCTGACAGTCATGGCAGATCCATCGGTGCGAGCTTCGTGGCCAATGAAGGCTGCCTTCTTGTCTCCTGGCCCACGCTGTCCAACGTTCATGTGTGTCGGATTTCGGCTCTGTGTTATTCGACCTTTTTGCGAATTCGGTTTCCTCGTCACGGAGAGAAGAAAGCCCCCGTTATTTTTTTACACCTTTCTCGTCGTCCATCAGCCCGGATACCCAAATCTATACAAACTTTATGCCCGAATATTTTATTGGGTACAATTTCGTTACCGCACCACACATGTTCATACAGTATTATATTCTAGAGTACTGTACATTTAGACTATATAAAATTAATGTTATCAAACTTATTGCACTATTTGAAACATTGTCAACCCATCCCGTTAAGGAATCAACTTTTATAGCACATGAAAAAATAAAAAAATTCCATCACAAGTATTATAAAATATCACAAAACTCTTGAAAAAATACAGTAGTTCGTAAATCTCACAGTTTACGTTGTAGATATATTTCAAAACATTTATGATGTAATCAGTCTTTTGAAATTTTGTATCAAATATCATAGAATTCCTTTCTTTAAAACTAACACAAATGTAGAAGTTAAATTTTGATGTTATCTTAATTTTTCATTACCATTATAAACCATCCAAGTAAAATCACTGAATGCAAAAATAATTCGAATTATTTAAAAGATTACGTTCCAACACAACTTTATTTCTGAAGAAAATTATGGCCTTTCAACATTGCCATATTAGTAACTCGAACTCAAACTCCACGACTAACCCTAGTTCTCCTGATGGTGCTATCCATCCTAAATTGCTAACTACACTACATGCTCTCTTTGCTTCTACATGCACACACACTAAGAGTGACGGTGCAATGCAATATTTTAAAGTGTTTAGAGATTTGAAGAATTGTAAAATAAAACAAAATAAAATTGGATTTATATCGGCCAAGAAATCTCGTTTTAGCCCACTTCTCATTGGTGGGCCAAAACGAGATTTTTCAAGGCATGTATTCGCTGAAGATATAAACCTTTATCGAATGACATAGAAAGATGTCCAAATTAAACAAAGTTGCATAATTTACGACTCAAAAACGTCAAGGGGAGAAAATGAAGAATAAGGACAGTGGGTGTTAAATTGATTGGAAAACTGCCATGTAGTCTACTGCGTACTTTGCCCATATTGTGGTTACTTGATAACTAAATTACAGGTAAAAAATCCATTGAACAACACTGATGAGAAGGTGGCTGAATGGTTTTCAAATCACAGTTCTAAGCAGAAAAGGTTTGAGCCTCACAAGATTCAATTTGGACAAGTTTGTGTTTCGATGTCTTTCATAGGAGTCTCCAGATGACACTTTGATGCATTTTACATTAAATTGCAGAACATCAAATTCTATATCATGGCAGTTTCCTATTGAAGGGAATTTTATACATAAACAGGGCAATTGATTAATAAGTTAGATATTAAATGACAAAAAACTCCTCAGGATACTCGCATCAGAATGCCTCATAAAAGGTATCGGATCTTAAGTAATAATGCCATCTCAACCCCTTTAAGTACCTTAGGAGAGTTGATGTACATGGCGTATAGACTATAATATATAGTATATATTATATAGTCTGGGGTGTATATTATATACCCAAGCTATATACGAAGTCAGAAAGCTTTCTGGCCTGCTTCCCTCGTGCAGACAAGACCTCCACGACTTTTCATCGCGGACAACGCTGGCGACAAATCTACTTGCACCAATGGGTTTTCGTGGAAGGTCAAGTAGAACCTCAGTACGTGAGCAGCATGTGTGGACTCGATGATGAACTGCGACACTGGCTCCACACTAGTCCCTCAACATGAACAAAATGTTGTCGTGATTCGTTGCAGCTGCTGCTGCTCATCTCGCTGAGGAATTAAAAGGAGGAGGAGGAGGAGACGGGCGGGGACTCGAGGCGGAGGTAGTCGTACATGACCCCATTGAAGGGACCTGAGGCCTTCCTCTGAGTCAGATAGATGATGTTGGCTCCCTGCTGCAGATTCGCTGCTGGGATGTCGATGTTGTAGAGGGCGTACAGTCCATGAATGCCGTGCCGAGCGATGGCGTTGTCTTTGCCGAATGCTGGCGTCTCATAAACAGGCTTCATGGTGCTGCTATTAACCCGGACCTGCATATGCGAATGCAAAGCAATGCGCGTAACGCACTTAGACGCTGGTTCTATTTCTGGAACTGGATCATAGTGAGGCCACGGACTGCAAGTAGATGAATGTTGCTTCAGAAGGTTGTGAGAACACAAAGAATACTCCAGGAAAGTGGAAGGCATATATGCCAACCTGGATAGCTGCAATCTCGGCTTGGGCAATGGCCATGCGGAGCTTGTAAGCACCCTGGCTGGCATCGAAAGTCGATAGATTGAACTTGATCTGCCACGTTGCCGCTACCCAGGTACCATCGGATTCATGCCTGTCCAGATGTAGCATGATATTAGTTTGAGCTATTCGATAAGCGCTTGGTGGTGCTTCTCTCAAGTCAAATTAAAGGGATGAGCGAAGGGTACGAGCAGGTATGTCTGTGTAGGTGCTGATCAAACCCAGTCTGGAAACGGTTTTTGCCAAAGAAGAGTGTGCTTAAGCAACGTGAATTGTAGATCGTAATACTCCTTACCTGCAGAGATGAGCAAAGAACCAATCTTTGGTATAATCGCTTGTTCCTACTGTGTAGATCAAATCCTGAGACGGATATAAATCCGTGTATCTTTGCCAGAGTCCATAATTTCGCCATCTGCAGAGATCACGTAGAAATCATAAAGTTTTTTCTCTCCATCTCGAAAGGGATCCTCGAGTGATTTGACAGGCAACTGCATCAGAAGCAACGCAATGGGCCTAAGGAAATTCAAGCAAATCGTAAGCAACTGGCATTTATTTAGAGTTTTTCAACGAAAGTTTTCTAACCTACAAATCTCTAGTTTTCCTTGCTGGACAAGAAATCTAGCTTGTTTCAGACAAGAACGAAGCTCACTTTTCGACGGTGCCGTAGAGAAGATTTGGATATCTTGAGTCCGGATCGGGAATATAAAAGTCTGCGGCAGTTCGACTGGGATTACCAATTTCCCACACGGTTGGCCCGTATCTTGGAGGCGTGTAAGTCAAATCACCCAGTGAGATACTATCTCCTGCAAAGAAGACGGAAATTTAAGGCGAACTTTATGTTGAGCCTCATTCAGGAGGGCAGCGCAGGGCAGGCCGGGTTCAATGCAGTCGTGTGAGCAGAGATCAGTCACTTTGCACTATACATTCATCGTAATCCAATCAAATCAATCCGCTCAGGAAAGGAAAGTCCTTCTGCAAGTGCAGAAGGATCTAGGATCTGGAACATACCTGCTGCAACTGTAATTTGTCCGTCTTTCAGGTAGTCACCAATGACGGAAGGTACCCAAGCATTGAGACTGTAAGTGCCAGCACGAACATTCTGAATGGAGAAATTGCCTTTACTATCAGCTTTGGTCCAGAACTGATACCCCTGTTACACACACCACTACATTCAGTGAGGAGGCAATGCTGCTGGCATTTATACGTAAGAGATGCATCTGAGTTTGACAGCGTTCCAGGACGCAGTACATTTCGTTCAGTTCATTACCTTACTCTCCGTCTGCCAAGTTCCTACATCTCCAGGCAGGGACAATCCCACCCATGCGTCCCGGGCTGAGCTCCTTTCCAAACTCGCATAACTTCAATCGCAGCCAAGGCGAAGGTGGTTAGTCATTGACAGCATGCATACCCATGCATAGTATAGATCAGTGCACACTGCAGCAGAAACTGTGAATTCTGAAACTGAGATGTGCAAATTTACGTCGCAAGCCATTGGATGAGAAGAAGCGTCCTCTGGACAACACCTGCCAATGTGCAGGATGAACATCAGAAGGATTCAGGATACCTGTCTTGGACAAAAAGTCGGCCTGATACTTGTCCTCGATCTGCTGCATGCGGATAGTCTGATGAAGAGGGCCATGTGTATGGCCATGCAGCTACTTCTGTGGCCATCTGTGCATAACGAAGGTACCTTCGTCAGACCTCATCAGATCAGAGCATAGTAAAGATGAATCATGATGAGAAGCTGGTTCGAAAATGATAAGATGCTCACTTGAGCTTTTGCATCATCCCAAAGATGACGAACTGTAGTTCCAGCGGGTCTTTGATTAAGGTATACATAAACTGGACCAAAGACTTTCTTCCATGCTTCTCCATTTCTGAATTGTGGACAAAGGTCTATTCCTGCGTAGTGTGCGCTGTGGAACATCTGCGACAAGCATAATGGTTGTAAGCGACATGATTCAAAGAAGAATGACTCCGGGTTCAGTCCTGTGGTTTGAAAGACAGTAGATTTTAAGACATGATTTCAATTTGTGAAACAGTGAAACTTACAGAAAGACATGTAGGACCAGTGTGGCAAGTTAGATCCGCCTTCATGGGGCCTCCATTTTTGAACTCATTGCTTGGTGTGATCATCCAAAATCCTACCGTAGGATTCGTGTCCTTGGACATCCATCCATGGACTTTCATGTCCTTGTTGTCTTCAGAGTACTGATATTTATCATCGACCTACAAAGTTGCATTTTCAAGAAGTGGTAGCCACTGTGAACTTTTGAAAATTTAGTTAGGCATAACACCGGTGAAGTGGATGAGCTGTCAACCATATAGGAGGAATTCAGTGCTTGAATGAACATGTAGAAAGGGAGAAAAAGAGTACCTGTCCTTTTAAAGAGGGTTCAATGGGATTAGTAAGAAGTCTGGCTTCCTTATAACCTAGCTCTTCACTGCGAGCATCTGTGAGATCATCAGGCGATGGCATGAGCCTGAGCTTGTTATCCGCAACGGCCATGTATTGGAAGCTGCAGGCAATGAAACTTGACTCAGTTGATAGCTGAAGGTTGGAAGGCAGGTGTCGGCCAACTTTTCAGCATAAGGGTGGTCATGAGATCTCCCTAATTTATCCCTGAAAAAGCCATGAAGAAGCTGTTTTATTCTACTGAAACTAGGAACATCGAAGCTTAGATGTGGTCGGATGTTGCAGTACTTGTCTCTGCGCGGCATGAACACAACTCTGAGTTGATTGAGGTCAAAGTCAGGCCATCCGGTCGGGCGGCTGTAGATTCCGTATGTATAGAAACCTGAACTTCCACGAAGCAGAACAAACCTGCAACAGTATTCAACAGCATTGTGCGTTCAAGTGAAGGGGCTGAGCTAACCACACAGATTATATGGTGGTCCGTCATGCTCAATGAACGGGACAATTCATAATAAATGTTACTAGTATGTGCAGAAAAGCAATCATTTGGTGTAGCATTCTGATTTGACCAAGTACATTCTGCTCAGTCATTGTAACTTAATGTATAATGCAGCTAGTTCAACGAATTCTTGATGCCACTTTATTCTTGTTAATATTCGGTTTTCAAAACTGTTTAAGAAATACCTCTTGTCGACATCAAGAGGCAGCATGGCTGGTGTTTTAGTTGAGTCGTATGGTCGGGTAAAAGAAACTTCAACTTTATCTCCGTCCGAGTGAACCAGTTTAAATATGGTTCCACTTGGCCTGCAAATCGACAATCGCAATGTGATACACTTCTATCTGATTAATAAGCAAAAGACACAACTCAAGCTTTACCTAGTTGTAATGAGGGATGTCAAGGCAGGAAAACTAGATTCATGAGAAGGGAATTTAGTTTGTCACATGCATTGAAATAATCAACGAAATGAAGCTTCTTTTCTATAAGATAATGCATTGATATATTCCTTGTACTGCAACTCAAGGACTTTAGTTGACTTGGACTTTAAGTAGCAACTTACAAGTCATAAGTATCTGATCCATTGGCAACATTCCAGTTCATGTCCCAGTACCTGTGGGAGAACCGGTTTGCGATGAACAAGGAGGCAGTATACGTCAGTCAATGATATGAATCTATCTAGTATGTACTTATGTCGAGAAGATCAAATAGCGGCTGAAGATATTCAATCCATAGAAAAGGGGAGAGCACAAACCCCCGGTCATTTTCTTTCAATGATGCGTCCAAGAGATTATCCATTTCCCCATATTTGACTACTGCAACATTTCCTCCAGGCTTGGTTATGGTAATTTGAACCGTGCCGTTGTCCAGCACAACCTGCAGAACGTGGATCATGTGAATTTTGTGTTTGCAGGGAATGTATGAAAGTCCGTGGACTCTATATAATAAATACAAAAGGGTTTTCTTACTTTCACTAACAAATCTGCAGCCTGGAAATAAGTATATAGAATCTAAAATGAGGAGGCAAGGAGATGTAATAGTTAATCACCGTGCTGCCATTGTCGGTGTAGCTTACATCAGGGGCCGTCATTTTTTAAGTTGAAACAATCTAGAGATTGTACAGCTGCTGGCAGGTGGGCAAAAGCAAGAAAAACACAAATTCAACGTTACTCCTGCCCATCATCAATCTCTAGGAGGCCTTTCTACAAACAAATGTTATTATTAACACCAACTTGTACGTGTAAAACTTCGAGTCGAGAGCTGTCCCGAGTAGAAGTTTGACAGAAATGCCCATGACTTGGAAAATCAGTTTTGCCCTCTCCAATGTACAGATATTGGACCTTAGATTTTAAGATTGGAAAGTAAAAAATTACACCCATTTCCACAATGTCAGATTCCACACAAACATAACGATCACTATATTCTATAGAAAAATCCTTGCCTTTGAAGCCTTTTATACTCACCTTTCAGTGACAGCGATTTACAGAAAATGTACAAGCACTAATGACACCGCATGAAGAAGGGTGTAGGGGAAGAGCAAGGGAAGAAATTCTTCGTGTTCCTGTTTTTTAACAAACCATTCACAAGAGCATTCAGATAGAGATGAATCGGAGCAGACTGATGGATTTCCATGGCAAAGTAGCAATCTATATAGCGGGAGGTTCTGAGTTCTGAGATGTAGACTTGGCGACACGAGTATAGTATGAACTTGTGTGAACTTGTGAACGTACAGTATTGTATATGATTGTTGTAAAGTGCACGAATTGCATCTTTCCACCAGTGAAATCCTCTTAATGCCAGCATTTCTAGGAGCATACCGGACTGGGTAATCGCTGGTCATATATCACCTAGAAAAGGAGCAGATTACACTCTTCTGATTTATATGTATGAGTTTCTTCCTCTCATATTCCAGCACATCTTTTGAACAATGTGAGTTCTGATATCTTATATCAGATTTCTGTTGCGCATTCAATTTGAATTTTTCTGTAAATAGTTTAAAGAGTAATGAATATGAAGGATGTGCATCTTCAGGTCTCGCATTCATTCATTTTAAATTATTTTCTTAGCATCTTGAATTCCGACTTAATGTCCATCAGTCAGGCATTTGTGCAAAATGTCCTTCAAATTCAGTGCTTGCTCTACTTTAGAAACAACGTCTTCACTTGTCTTCACACATGAGTGTTGTGAGTAAGAGACTGTTAGCGTGATTAGCAGATAATTTCGCAGCTGCATTTCTACCTTTCCTAGATGGATTCAGAACCCTGTGGATCTTGCAATGAATGGGTACCTCCAGAAGTATAGATTTCTGCATTGTGAGGAGGAGACTTTTAGCGTGAATATCAGATAATCTCGCAGCTGCATTTCTACCGTTCCCAGATAGATTCAAAACTCCGTGTATCTTGCAATGAATGGGGTACCTTCAGAAATATAGATTTCTGCGGCCAGCTCACTCACATCCATGCTGAATATACCTTTTCCGTAGATAACGGCTCCGTAATAGTTTGGTGAGTGGTGGAATACTTTTGATAATTTGTGGCTTTCTCAACTCTACCTAGTTGCTTGTAAAAAGTTGAATGAAATCAAATATAAGCGAATGTCCTTAAGCCTCCCTGATCTGAAGGCGATTGGAGGTGCGTGAAAGGTGCTCTCGTAGCTTCCAAAACGAACGCTAGAGTTCTTCTCCTTTCGAGGCTGAACCCACCCTGAAAATCTTGCAGGCGTACCATGAGTAGTACCCGATCACAGAAGCTAGATTCAGCTTACTACAATTAGTGAAGGCCCTAGCGTTGTTGATTGAGAATTAATTTCTCCAATACACAACCCGTTCTTGTGTTTGACCCTCTAACTGAAGCCCTCGGCTGCGTTTTCCTTATATTGTGTGGGGATTCTAGCTCCTTGCCATTCTCTCTCACACTGCTGTAAGTCTATCCTTTTACGGATTATCATTAAAGGGAAAATTATTTTTTAGAGAGGTAATCCGAAAATAGAATGCTATTCGTGTAAATAAATGTCAGTGGATAAGGTGGAAAGTAACGTGCGGCATTTGACTTGGTCCAACCCCTTTAATGGTTGATTTGGAGACCGAAGCCCATGAGACTCTAAAAGAGTGATCTACTCCTCTTTGTTAATAGATTCGTTTTCACGGTTTGATTAAGTGGATGAATAGCAAAACATGAGTACGTTGGCAATGAAAAGGTCTTAGACCCTGAATCTGCTGTAAGCAGAATCTCCGCCGCAAAGCTTCGCTACCTGATTTGCGGATGGTCGAGAATTGTTGTAAAGACTTTCAGGGAGTGGGGTCTCAGATTAGCACATCGTAGCGTGCAAGAATGTTTCAGTGTAAACCTAAACTTCCTGTCCACCGCCATGGGTGTCACGAAGCTAGGTCCTTCCTTCATCCACGACATCGACGGTTGGTTTTTGAGGAGATCTATGCTGTGATCGGCGGGATCCAGCCTTGACGGTCGAAGTAAGCTTCCATTTCCAACATATATCGAAGAAAGTATTCACTGCACTACAACGTCACATGCAAAGTCACCACGAGCTGCGCGTGGAAGTTCTTCATGTTGTTGGAATTCAAATGCAACTGCAATACAGTTACATGGACTCGGTGATAGAGATTTCTTCTTCTGGTATTGGATAGTCTTCACTCGCGATGGAATCCGTGCTACGAGCTGCTTACATCACACCGAGCATGAGTCACATGGAGTCTTGTGAGTAATCTGAGTTCTGATACCTCTCTCTCTTCGCCTTGGTGCCATGGTTACTTGGATCTCGTTGGCACCAGTTTGTGATGTAGTGTTTACTTGTTTCGTCACATATATTTTTTTCTTCCATCGCTTTTGAATCTAAGATATTAATTGACTTAAGGATTCACTCGTGTTTATCACTTTCATGTATATATAATAATATCAATGTTAATTCTAGTTGAGTTAACCTTAGATTAGCTAACACTAATTGGAGAGTTCGTAGTGCGTTTTTGAGACGGGAGCAATCAGCCTTAATCCTTGATACATGATTACAACAAGAGCCTTATGATGTTTTTCGCAAAATATGCAATATTGTCATATGCATGACGTAATTCGTATGTCATGCATGTGACAGTTCTGGAGTTCCATTGTCATGACAACTTCTTCAACAACAACTCCACTCCATAGATCCACTTCGTACTCACTTACTTTTATATTGGACATTACACAGAATATAAGATGAATGGTGCATCGTTATACTCGCAATGGAACGAACTTTTGATCTTGTTGAAGTGAAAAGCTTAATCAACATACAAATGCATAAATATATCTTACCGATTCGCTTTTCTTTTGACGATATCTTGGATTTAGTGGATATTTTCTAGCTATAATTATTTGAGTTGTGTAACAAAAGTAGATGGTGATAATCGTTGTTTACTTCATGCCTGTAGTTGTTTGCATTTTCAATTTAGTACAATGATTGCATGCTTTAGTGTCTATTTTTTATCATTATCAAATTGCAATTTCTAAAATAAATTTTACATATCTATTAAATAATAAATTTTATCTTATAATTATTGACTGAACTACACATTTTAGAAAAATACATCTCCAACTAATGATTCCAACGTCAAGTGTAAATATATATATATCCAATTATAGTGATGTTGAAATATTTAACTCCAGGATTTATGTATTAAGAAGACTCTATTGTCATAGAGTCTTCTTAATACACACTTTCAAGCGTGTGAGCTTTCAGATATGGATGTAATACTATGTGGTGAACTATTTTTTATTGTTATTTTGATTCGTCGTATTTGCTGACACTTGTATATTGCGTCTTATTTTTTATAGATTTTCAATTTTAATCTTGAAAACTGTTGTACATTGTGTCATCTTCTCATACTACAATAATGTAAACGTAAAACGCAGAGATACACTAAAAAAAGCCATCAACACTAAAGACACCCACGTATAATGTGATTCACCTTTAAGGGCTACGTCCACAAGAAAAAGAACATTATAATATTATACTCAACATTCTGTCTAGTAATACACAAACCCTAAATATATATTTCCAACATTGGCAATCGACATAACTATAAATAGCTAGAACATGAGTTTGCTTCTTAATCAGAGTTAAACTCAACAATCTTCTTTTTAATTTGTGTTAATGAAACAGTAAACTCTACACCTATGTTATTACACAACGGGAAATTTAACACAATGCTCCTCTTTATACTAGAGTTAAATAGAATCAAGCCATAGCCATAACCGGATAAAGTAATAATATAAAGAATTAACTAAAAATCTCTTAGCATAGAAAGAACACGGGTCTTGTAATCTATATATTATTCCGTGGGAAGTTCTAGAAAAACATCTAATACAAAGATCTCTTTAAATAAGAGTTAACTAGAACTTAATTGTAATCATCACATGATACAATATTTATATATAGAAAAAACTTAAGATATCATGCTAGCAAACTCTACCTTTGCTTTTCATACACAACCTGGGTAGTTATACAATGTCGTCTGAAATTTTCCAAAATAATAACTTTGATCAACGTATCAGTTGGATTGAGTTTATCATCAATCTTAACTAGTTAAATCACCAAAATTTTCCCTGAAGATGGACTAGTTCAATTACTAGAGTTTATCATCACTTTTGATTAGTTCAATCATCACAGTTTATTGTCAACCTTGACTAGCTCAATCACATGCTCAAGATTCCATCAAAACTAGTGTTTTTTCTTCATAAATAATCAGATAATAATCAAACTCATCCACGACCATATCCATGACTGGATATTTTTTCCTTGTCAGTAAAGAGAATCTAGGAACTCTTCCGTTCTTTCAATGATCTAGACAAGTCTCATTGAAAGAAACATCTTTACTAACAAGAACATATATCTTGAGTAAGTTTGTTACTCTTAGAAATTCACTCCAAGATGAAACATAAACTTTGAATATGATAAATATCAACAATAGTTCTACTCTTTCTCATATAGCTTTTACCAACATGTACAAGAAGATAAAATGTCATCAACATCATCCATTTCATTTATAGTGAATAGATAATGTGACGGATAACCCAAACAAGCACACGGATTGTTAACGTGGTTATTCCAACTAACACACTCAACAATTACCTAACCAGCAAGCAAATTGCTGACGTGGTATACATAACCTCTACTTTAGTCCTAACGAACTGAAGATGATCACAAATCTTCATACTTTTAAGACGTAACGTCTTCCTTGCATATACGCTCAAATTTCTAAACTATCAACTGTGCATTAACTAGAATTCTAGTTATATACCAAGTTGATTAGTAGGATGAATATCATTTCATGGAACCAAATATTCAATCTTGGAGTACTTATGGCCTCAAATTTATTTCTTGAGTATTTTTTCTATCTCAAATTCCTCTTGAAAACTATCAAGGTTAGTAAAGGAGTTAACACTGGTTGGTATGTGAATTATTTGATAATATTACATGTTTTTGCAATCGTGACACATGAAATACAAGATTTATTTTAATATGTGACTGAAGTTCCAACTTGTATGACACTTCACCAACACGTTTCAATATCACAAAAGTACTAACGAATCTAGGGTTAAACTTTTATGTTACTACAAG